AAATGTTTTTTTTTAATTTGTCATCACATTCAGCTTAGAAATAATTTTCTGTATGCATGACGAGAAAAGAAAATACCTTATGAGGATCGGGCCAGATTTCCCACCATTGACTCTCAAAGTAACTCAGCAAACTTGGACAACAGTTTTCCTGTGAAAGTTTCAAGTAGTTTTCAGAACTAACAGTCGGATTTCGTTAGCCTTGCGTCGTTTTGCGTGCTTTATATTGTCCTACATAAAACGCTATCTACAGCCCTATCTGACCGATAATAAGACTACCCTCTAATCTGTCTTTACGTGTTATTTAGAGATTTCGAGCATCAACTCATAGCCGACCGCAATAAATGGAAACGTTAGCGATTTGTTTTCATACCGCTGGGAATTTGATGGTGTATCTTAGTGCTGCTCCAGTTGGTTCACCACAAAAACTCGTCAGAAAGGCAAAATTCTGAAACAGTATCAAACGCATTGACATTAGAAATATTTGTACACAATCATGCCGAATGGATTTCCATGAATTAAACAGCTATCACTGCAAAAGAAGGAATGCACTCCATAGCAATGCACTGTTTATTCTGCAATACTTACGTGATGATCAAGCTCCAAATCCTTTTGAATAACAAACCCACAACTTTGACTTGCTAGTACAGTAAMAAGTGCCGTATAAAGCAATAAATCCTTGATTGGTTTACACATTTTAAGACATCTTGAAACACAGATAAAATCAAAAGTGGAAAGGCTCTTGCTTGTGTTCTGTACTATATGCCTGCTTCCTCAATCGTTATCGTTGTTTAATTCGCTATATGTACTAGACGCGCGTGACGATTGACTGAAAGTAGATACTACTAGACGATTGTATGGGGTCAAGGTTGGTGAGATCTCTCGACCTTATGTCTATTCTCTACTTTGTCTTTATATCTTGTTCAAAAGGGAAAGTAGTTTTCTTTAAAATGTGCGATACTGGCTAAGACATATCATGGATTTGTTCATAGTTATCTTGAAATACTTCACAGATGTCTATWTTTCTGTCGACCTTTAATCGTTTTCGATTACAGTAAGTTCTGACAATGTTCCTTATATTATCCTTCAAGCATAATTTTATTCATTTATTATTTATTTCATTTAATGAAATCATCCAACAGCGAGTTTTTCCTTTCTTTTACCTTTTTTGCTTATTTAGGGTGGGGCATCACGTGGTCACATAGTACGTACATGTCACGTGAACTCAATTCGTAAAAGTTACAATTCTAAAATTTAGCTTCAAGTACGTTATTTCCCAGTGATTTGGTTGCCTATTTCAGGCATTCTGATATAGTGCGATGATGCGATTTCGCATAATCACCTAAAAATCGCATTTTTCCGCATAATAGATAAAAATCGCATAATTAGTCAAAAATTGCATAGTTTTCGAAGCAAAAACGTGTTTCCTATTAAAAATAAATTAAGTTCTGTCTATTTCATCTTAGAATTTATCGATATAAACCTTTTTTAGTGCAAAATATTTGAAAAATTATCCAATATTCGATCAAAACAAACGTGTCTAATATGATTTCGTCATTTATCTACAAGGCGTTACTTGCTCGACAGCAGAGTCTGGGAACTGGTGCTAGTTTTATGGCGGAGCTGTCGGCGGAGCTCGTTTTCTTTTCTTCCAAAGATTTCTTAGCTTTGTGATTGATTTAATGAATTCTGCGTATAATCTTTTCGCAATATTTCTTCTGAATATTTTAATAAAAGTTAAAAAAGGTAGAAAGAACAAAAGATGTGTCCAGAACTTTAGCCGCTCAAGTCGAGAATCAAATCCGCGATCTTCAGTTCTTATTCGACGCCCGCCGCTATTCGAGTATGTGATAAGAGAACGTTTTGTATAATGATAATATTGACATGAAAATGTGTAAATTGCTCTTATACTAAAACGCGCCTTTTTACCGTGTCCAGGCCGAAAAAAAATTGCAGCGACTTTTTTTTCACGTTGCAGTTTAGCGATCCTTAGGGACCGAAATTACAACTTGGGGAAGCAATAAAAAGTCATTGGTCTGTTGTTTTAAATTAGATAAACACTCAAAGCCATAAAATTGTAAATGAAATGTTTTTATGTGACAAAACATTAGAATAAACATGAGAAAAAGATTTCGCAATATTGCGCAATTTACCGCATAATCGGGAATTTTTGCCGCATAATTGAACATTTTTGCCGCATAATTTGATGTTGAAATGCCGCATAATTTTCATTTTTTTGCCGCACTGTATCAGAATGCCTGCTATTTCTACAATGTGATATAATATTAGAAGAGTTTCTCAGAAAAATGATAAAATTGATTATGGATATCTATCATTATTTATATTCATTTGCTAATATATTTGTAGGTTGAGTCAGCTTGAWTCAGGTTTTTCTTCAAGTTCACTAAGTTGAGTAGAGGAGTCCAGGTTGACGAGGTATGATAGTGCAGTTTGTAAGGTAGTTAAACAGTAGCCTTCTTCTCCCATTAGATATCTGGTGATAGAGAAAAACTCCATCAATGTTAACTGCAAAAAATACAAACAGCAAACTATGTGGTACATACCCTTCCGGGATGAACTCTTCCATAGCAAAACACTCAGACACAAGTTGTGCCATTCCACTTCGAACTATTACATAAGTCAAGACTGGCAATAGATCATCACATCCCCTGAAAGTGATTTTAAATATGATTTTAATATAACGTGTAATGACGTGGTAGATGATCATGTAAACACTTACATAGAGGTCTCAGGGCAGTGCCGTGGTTTTCCTTTCATTTCCCAGTAATCCTCTACACAYTGACAGATACTTCGCAACACATGAACTAAGAAATAAAATAAAACTACTCTCAATCTAGATTGGGATCCCTATGGARCCAAAATTGATGAATGAATTAAGAAATGTCAATACAAATAGAAGCAAGAACTCTTACCAATGTAATCTAGCTTTTCTAGAGGAGAGTTAGAGGTTGCAACTTTCTGAAGCAAATCGACAGCTGATTGGTAGGGATACTGGTTCCCAGTCAGCTTGACAGATTCCTTGAATGACAGAAAACAATTGTCAAAAGCAAATGTGACTTATTTGTTCCACCAATATACTCATACACTGGTTTAACACTGACCTGATCTGACAGACACAAGCGATCAATCACACCCATTTCAGCTGGTAACTTGTGTATTCTCTTTGTCATGACAACTCCAAGTGATAATTCTTTATCAAAGTTTACTCTCCTGCAAAATAACACAACAACTGAAAATGTTATTGTAATGCTATGAAATTGTTCTGCAGTTGATAAAATAGGACAACACTAAAATTTGTTTGCAAAGGCAGATGTGTACCTTAAAACACCAAGTAATAATGGCCACAGTGGTTGGAAAAAYGGATATTCTACTGCAGCATAGCACTGATCATGACCTACTGGTGTGGCAAACTCCTCATAGGCTAATATGATGAAACCTTTGAGCTTTTCTAGGATTGGAAATATGGTCAACAGTAAAATCATGTGAAACACATAATAATTTAAAAAGTACTAGAAACATTGAGATGAATACAGTGTACACAAATGAATGGCTGGGAAAAGAAATGACAAAAACAAACTGACAAAACAAGACAGCCTACCAAGGAAGAACCGCATGTCCACAAAGATCTCATTCAACTGCTTTCTTGTCATTTCTAGATCTTCTTCATATGACAATTTTGKCTCAGTTTGTTCTTTCACTGGATCTACACTGGCAGTTCGTTCAGTATCTGTGCTATCCTCATTTTCACTTCCTCTATCAAGTATTGCTGCATTGTCTTCTTGGGTTGATTTTGATAAAATACTCTGTTTGTCTGATAATTGTTCRGCTTGTTCTTCTTCACTCTCACTACTTTCTGAATCAAACATGTCATCCTCAAGGCTTTCAAACTCTGAATCTACATCAAAGGACTTTATTCGCWGGAGATTTCTGTTTTTGATAATTTCTTTATTTCTTGTGTTATTGATAACTGTTGTAGAGCTGGGTTTATTTTCCTGGCATGAGTCATYAGMAAATTCAGTGGGATGTTTGGTTGATTCAGTTTCATTTAACATCTGTAATTCCTGTCCCTTGTCWGTGATGGTTACACTGGAATTACTGCCCTCCATTTCCCCTGAGAGGACGTCTTTAAGTTCCTTATCTACTGCCGACTCTGTAACGTTGTCTAAAATGTCTGCTATGACACTGTTGACAATTGCTTTAATATCTTCTTGGAGGAATACTTGTTGATTATTACCACTGTCAGTATAATTGTCATTGRTCTGCATTTTAGACATATTTTCTTCTGTGTTATCTATGAATACTATATTATTGTCTTCAAAATTGTGGAAATCATTCAATTCTTTAATGACATCAGTCCTTTCTTCTGATAAGCTTTTTTCAGTATTATCTTTCTCTTTTGGAACCATTTCTTGGTTTTCATCTTCTCCATTGAGATCTTTACCACTGCTATCACTAGTTTCACTAGTTCTTGTAGAAATGTCGTCTTGACTAGCGGCACTAAGGTTCTTCTCGCTTGGAAAATTTACATCTTTTAGTAATGGCAGTAGTTTCCTGTATACATGGTACTGGTATTGGAGAAGAAACTGCTTAAGAGGATGGTCTTTAGAGCTGTAACAAGAAAATTAATGATGGATAATGTTGGTGAGTTCTCCATACTAGGTYATACTGTAAAACTTACCTGAAGATTTTATCAATGATATGTTTGATTAATGTGGCATCCTCAGGTGACTCCTTCAGTTTTGCTCTCAATTGACGAGGCCAAACCTTCAAGAAATATCATAGGTTTGTTCCTTTTCATACATGTCCAAGTAAAAGTTGAAATGGTATTAATTCATTTAAAGCTTACCATATCTTGCTCAAATTCTAAGATTTTGGTGTAAAGAACTCGTTGTTCTTGCTCCTCTTTTGAATCAACAGATGCTGAAGCAAATCGCCTAAAATAAAAAAGGCATTAATGCTCCTGGATCAGAGATCTTTTCTGGGAGTGATAACGTTTCCTGCTTATATAGACACTGTATACCTGTTTGCCTCCTGTTGAAGTCGTTGCTGTCTTTCCCAAACTTTCTTGCGAATCTTTACAACTATTGTCAAGGGTATAGCACCAATTTCCAATGAATTCGTTCRTTATAGTTTAATTTTTCTTAAGCCTGAGTACAAATTATTTTACACCAATCTTTTCCATATGGTTGTTTTTGAGCAAGATTGTTGCATGCTTTAGAGGACAATGTGAAGGAGGTGTTCAGCTACAGATGAATAATTTTGTTGCTTGATGAAACAGTTTTATCAATTGAAAAAAGATACAGCTTCTTCTCTTGCTTTTGCTATTTGAAGATTTTCAGACATTCTTCTTAAATACGTCAATGTCTAAAATATCAAGAAAATGCTTGCGTTTGAATGCTTGCGTTTGAATTTTTATATACAGGTGTATRTTGATGGTTTTGAACAATTTATCAGTGATATGTGCATGATGACATATACTACAACTTCAAGATTATTGTCAACCTTATCTGTGTTACTGGTATTGACTTTTGCAACTCTCAGATGGTGYCCCATTAGTCTTCTGTCTTGGTAATTGCCTCTAGGACATGGCTTCATGGAATTACTCCTATGAAACAAAGTTRAATACAAATATTCTAGACAATCAAAGAAGACTATCAATAATGACCACACAGCCATCGTAAGCTAGGTATTATTACAGTATTGATGCCTGTTTACATACAAGTTTGCAGTGGGTGAAGAAGATGATGGCGGTGAAGGAAAGTTGAGCAAATGAMCAGATGAAGTACGTAAAGTTCCAGTAGCTGGTCTTCCTGGTGGTGTTGCTACATGCTCTGTGTGTTGGTTATTGGTTGGTTGTAAACCTGCAATACATGGATAGTACATTAATGACTAATAGGTATGGAATGTTTAAAGTAATGACGATTCTAGACCTTCTGATGTTATAATCGTTAAAGCCCGTTCTTGGCATTGCTGTATCAACTTGAAAAGCTTTGTGGAGTCATTGTTGTAGGTAAGCTTTAGATCTGTTAAACAATAATCAAAGTTAAATGGATCAATCTAGTTGGTTGCTTTCATACTTTGTCCATCATATTCCATCAAAATAATTCTTTTTTATATTTTATTTACCTTTGTCCCATGCATCATCTTTCAGTATCTGAGAAATGTAGATGCAACAGCTAAGGTACTGGCAGTAGGCCTCCTAAAAATCAGTTCAATAATCGGATATGTTATTTAAAAGCGCATCAACGTAGATAAGTTGCAATCAACAACCTTTTTACAATTTTGCGAATCCAATCTGATTGCATCTCCCACCATCCTCATCGCAATAGGCAGGCATGAAGATAGCCCTTCTGCCATCTTTCTTACAATTTTCAATAATGTATCTTTAGAATCTTTGATCAATATATACGATAAAAACTTTAAAAAGTTGAGACTTGCACTTCCTTTCCGCCATGTTTACAATCTGACCGTKAAGGCTAATGGGAAAAATTATGAGATTCTATGAAGGTTTTTGATTGGAGGAAAGATTATAACAGTAAAAGACGCCAACTTGTGTCATCGAAAAAATACTGTTAATAAAAATTAATGCTACTATATGTTACCTGAGGTYGTTTTGAGTTGTGATGGCTTTTTAAGAATTCCTTAGAATATTAGTATTSAAATATGTGGTATTCCTGTGTGTATATACGAGCATTGAAAAGTAGTGAGCCAATCAAAATACATGTTATAGAATATCGGTACCCGTATGTTAGCACGCGCGGGCTTCCAAGATGGCGGAGATCGGCGATGAGTTTGTGATCGGAGGTCGAAAATTAGCCCAGTTAAAAAACGATGAGCTTAAACAGGAACTGGAAAAAAGAGGTCTGAAGAAAAGCGGTAACAAAGCTGCTCTTGTTGAGAGACTTAGCGAGGTAAGATCATCACGATTGACCATAGTAAATTMTCTGTTTACTTACGCCGGTAAACTCTCAAAAATGACTTGTATTAGGCTTTGAATCGCACTTTTCTGATCGCTTCGCCTTCTCCTTCGTTCTHCTTCCTCACTAAGTGTAGGTTGGGCCTTTTTTGAGTTGAAAGCTACCATTGTTAGGTAAATCTTTTGAACCCTTGGTTGATTGCTGTTCAGATTGTAAGGTTATATGACTACAAGAAATATGGTTTGAATTTAAGCTTAATAAGTGATAAGCTTTTTATCTGTCGTTGCTTCACACGTTTAGTCGCCATGTTGTCCACCATATTGAATTGCCACAAGTCATTTTTGTAGTTGTTGGTAATTCTGAAAGAAACATACATATCGGTTTGAAAATTGCCATAAATCAAGAGGTTTTCTAAAGGTTTATTCATACAAATGTATATTTTAGTTTATAAACCTTATTGATAGATAAAGATTATTTTGTTGATATTATATATTATCTTATATGTATGTTTGATAGTGGTTCATAGTCATTGGGCATTTTACCAAACCTAACAGCAAATTTACATCGATCGTGAAACAAAGTTTAAACTTTAAGAAATTTCTGTAAATTGTCTCTTCTTTTCAGTATTTGTTCAAAGAGCTGTATGAAAACCAACAGCAGTCCACACCTCAACAGTCAGTCCAGCAAGCTATACATCAACAACAAGTAAATCTACCTCAGACATTACAACAGCCATTACAACAACCATTTTCTGGCCAGCAGTACCGCCAGTTTCCTGGACAGCAACAATATCAGCAATTCAACCAACAGCAGCATCAGCAAGCACCTTTCCAGTCCCCACCATATCAGACAGCCATACAATCTCCTACCGGATTGACACAACAACAACAACAACAGCTTTTACAACAAATACCTGGACAAAATCCTGGAATCCAGCAACAAATTAATCATCAACAACAATTACAACACCAGCAAAACTACTTTGCACAGCAATCACCACAACAGCAGCAAACCTCACCATTTGCGCAAACAGACTTCCAACAAGAGCAGTTTTTACAATTCCCAGGGCAAGGATTTAATACGCAWTATTTGACACCTCAASAGAATATGTTACAGCARCAAGAACCAATTACCAGCCTGAATGAACCAACTCAACAGGTATTGCAAATAGCCTGAAAGGTAGAATTTTATTAAGAAGTATGGCAAATGCTTAAAATAAGAATTCTTTAATTACTGTGATGAAATTGCATCTTAGATACATGTATAGAGGCTCCACATACACAAATAGTATTTTAAACAGTTGTATGTAACAAAGTGCCTTCATGTAATTATTAGAACATCTTRCAGCATTCTTGGTTGACAAAGAGTGTTAACAATTTTAGGTCAGTTCTGAGCTGATATCTGAGGAACCTCATGATGACTCATCTTCATCATCCACCATTATTGATGAACCAGTACCAGAGCAAGAAGTGCAGCCAGTAGAAGAAAGCAAGCCATCAAAAAAGCCTGATGGACAAGAATTCTCATCACCTGGCAGCAGCAGTAGTAATTCAAATGAGAGTTGTGAACCTTCTCCTGCTCTAGAGCAAGAMAAAGAAGAACAATCTTCCTCCTCTTCATCATCTTCYTCRGCTGGAGACGAAGAGCAATCTCCAATCAAACCAAGTGCRTTAAACCAAGAAGAACCAAGCCAGCAAGAGATGGTTAAGGTTTCTTTTGGTGAAGAGAATGAAAATCAACAAGMAATYSAAAAGGAAGAGACTATGCATGAAGATGATGAGKCTAAGTTTGAAAAGGAACCTGTAAAGATTGAAGAAGAGAACCAGACTGAAGTGGCTCCCATGCAGGAGGATAAAACTGAGCAGGAAGAGACAGTCCCTCAGGATCTAGATGACAGTGTACGGGAAAAAGAGGCTCCAACGCAAATGGAAGTAGAGAAGGCTAGTGAGGAAGAGGTAAAGATCCCAGAGGAGAAAGTTGACAAGGTAGAAGAAAGCCCAAAGGAGGGCAGTGGGCTGGAGGAAGGTGAAGTTGATGTCAGTAGTAATGAGGACACTAAAGAGCTACAGGAAAGAAGCAATGAACCACAGTTTGTTGTGGAGCCTACAGATGAAGAAAAAGCAGTTGCTGATGAGCCAAAACCAGAGGAAAAGGTAAACTAAGACAACAATTTAACAAGAATCAAGRAATTCAAAAACTGTATTACACAAAATTGATGAGTTAGTAATGTTTTTCAACAAACATGCATCGTTAAAGCCATGCAATATCATAACTAAAATTGCCTTTTTTTGAAACATTTTTTTTTTCTTTGAACAGAAACGAAGGACCCCATTAATAACCAAGAAGCGTAAGATCTCAATACCATGTAAGTTGATCCATGTGTCATCAAAGAAGACATACTGTGACATTGTTTTGTGTTTTAGCAGCAGGATCCACACCTGTTACTCCATCAACAGATGCACCAAGAAAGAGAAGATGGGGATCATCCAAGTCATCGAAACCAATCAGTACAGAATCACTGAAAGTAAACATGTCCATGAGATTTTTTTTTTAATTTTAATTACAAACTTGCTAAATTGTGTGACTYTTAATGCATCCTGTGACACTAAAAGCAATATTGTCCTTTGAACAGACTGTTCCTTTGTTGTTAATGTACTGATTAATGGGATATTTTTCTAGGATTTGATACCTGGTGTTCAGGTTCAYTCTACTCCAGCCTTTGATGCTGTGATGGACTTTGGTAAGGAAGACCATGATGATGGTGATGAGAGAGAAGCTGGTGAACTGGTTGATGATGATGACATGGAAAAAGAAAATGTTGAAGAAACGCARSGAAATGAACCRGAAGCAAAAAAGAGAAAGGATCGTATAGTTAAGTTAGAAGAAGGGCGTAGAAAAATAAGAATAAAAACTGAAACAGATGATGCTCAGGATGAGGTGAAAATGGATTTTGGACCAGGTATGACATCTTATTTATTCTAGGAATATTGTCTGTGTGCAAATTCTGGGATGATAAATCAGTTTTTGTTTTTGTAAGATTTTAAATAAASATATCATTGAAACTAAAACAACAACAAAGAAGTACATAATATCTTAACTGAAAAAGTTTAAAGCCAAATTCAAAATTTAAGAGATTTCTACAAGCTAAATCAATAAACATGAAATATATGGTTTGTTTACTATGATGATCTATCTGTCATCCCAGTATTTTTCACATACATTCAAGATATTTTATCTGAATACTCTACCTGCAGTACGCACTAAAACGTTTGGACAAACCTGCCTTGTTTGGGGGCCTTCAAAGTATGCGCTTTTATTGCCGATTAAGTTGGATTGTTGCCATGGTTATGAACTGTAGCGGCATGCTATAAATCATTACACATCTTCAGTGGGTGTCTGCTATTTYATGGACAGACAATGATATTGTCATCTTGCTTTATTGCAATTAAATGATTCAATCATCATCATCGCCAAATGTGAGGGAAGAATTCAAATCGTSATTGAACTCATAGAAATGCAGAAGAATTTTCAGCCATTGCTGACTTTCAGGACAAGATGGGATTTGAAAATTGAAYTATAAACACTTTAATGGGCTGACATGCAAGGATTTAATATCATCAAAAAACGAATCCAGTGAAAACAACAACAACAAGACATTCATATTGAACTTATGCACTTTAGAGAACTGATAACATCTGCTTGCCATCACAAATAATTTAATGATCAATGAAACATCCAAGTACCTTTCAGAAGTCTAAACTAATGAAGAAAAACAACGTATTAATGCATTCTAAATGGAAAATGAAAGAATGAAATGAGCTCCTGATGTTGTCTGCAAGAAAATCTTCAAGCACATTTTGTACAGTATGATGGATAAACGTATTGAGATAATAGCATTTACAATTTCATTACAAGAGATCTACACAACACTTGATAACATTTGTAGACATTGTATGCTTGTCATTTAAGACTGTTCTATCTACTTGGTGATATTCATCACATGGWCTAGACTCCAATCAACCAATGTACTTGAAATTGTTTTACAAAATTGTTATGATGTACTGACTTTGCTACTTGAAACACTTACCACAATGAACTCTRAAAGTATCACCAATACTATTGAAAGATAACCCTACTGAGACAATGATTCCATATTGATACTATGAGAAGCAGATGGTACCATTGATCACATTGTGTCATATAAGAGGCAAATCACTCAATCAATAAAGAACAATAAAGCTAGTAATCTGAAGTGAACATATAAGAAAGAAGGCGTAAAGATGAAATTCATTATCATGCTGACCATGATGTTTTAGCATTGTATGTTATCGCTGACGGCACTGGCAACAACAGGGTAAACTGTCAGTAAATGACAGGCTCTATACATCCAGTTCTATTATGCATCTTTTTAAAGCAAAAACCAAATTTACCATAATTAAGACTTAATAGGTTGTGTATACTTAAAGACATAGATGACAAGAATTTCTGCTGATAAAACTGGATGACTCCAATCAAACTATCCCTGATATCTCATCACAATGATAACAAAGATTAATACATTTCTYATCTCTAACTACAGCTAGTCCTACATTAAGTAAAGAAACAAGACTTCCAGTTATCCCTATCCTGACACAGTCCCCTGTTCCTGCTGAAAGATCTCCATCGCCAGCCAGGAATCCAGAGAGYGTCAACATACATGTGAACAACCTYGTCAGACCGTTCACACTGAACCAGCTGAAAGACCTGCTTGGGAAACATGGCACTTTAGTTGATGATGGGTTTTGGATTGATAAAATTAAATCACATTGCTATGCAGTGGTATGTGTMCTATGTTGTGTTATAACTTTTTATAGTACATTGTATGTAACATTAGTTTGTAATCTGATAATGTATGATTTGTTGCAGTATTCAGACATTGATGGAGCAAAAGCTACAAGAGCAGCCTTACATGGTGTCAAGTGGCCCCCAACCAGTCCTAAAATACTCAGTGTAGAGTTTGAAGATGACCACCAGGTATAACTTTGCAATGTGTTTGAAGCTACATAATGAACTTGACATTGAAATAATTATTAACAATGCTTTAAGATATTTTAAAGAAAACGTTTTGAGWTGATAAGCTTATTTTTATGTAGATGGCTCGTGATACCGGYGGTGCGTTGGGTAAAAGATCGAGAGATGAAGATGTTCCGGTTAAGCGTGAACGGGAACCAGAGAAATCTCGAGATGTAGAAGGTAACTCAAACCTGGCTATGAATAGTGCAATGGTTGCTAGGGACATGCAAAGATGAACATTGCGCTACAGTTGATAGGGATATGTAAAGATGAACTTTACGCTATCCAAAGTGAACATTACGGTACAGTTGCTAGGGATATGCAAAGACAAGCATTACGATATGGTTGCTAGGTGCATGCAAAGATGAATGTTATGCTATGGTTGTTAGATGATAGTAAAGTAGGAATTATTGTAACCGTGATCTTACTTTCTTCAGAAGAAAAGGTGACCGATGATGACAACAGCCCCGCTGACTTACTGGATAATTTATTTCGTAAAACTAAAACCACGCCCTGTTTATACTGGTTACCATTGACTGCAGAACAGGTAGGATTTATTCCTGGTACATTAAAGAAAAGAAATGTAAATTTTGACAATACCTGCAACTAACCAGGTTTGTTAATAAAGTACATTGTTTACATCAGATACGAATTGAAAGAAGGAATAGTTGATCTTTGTGATTTTTACTGTGATCTTTGAATTGTAATTCGAGTTGGATTGTCAACCATAGTGTGACRAGTTTACAGCAGCAACTTTTTAACATTGAATTGTACAAAAAGGCTATCGATCCACTGATTATAAGTGTTTGTTGTTTACAGATCGTCAAAAGAGATCAAGAAAGAGAAGAAAAACGCAAGAAACGTGAAGAAGCAAGAAAACGAGATGACGAAGAAAGAGAAAAACGACGGGAAGAACGGGAAAAAGAACGCGAACGAGAAAGAGAACGTGAGCGGGAACGCGAGAAAGAACGCGAGCAAGCGAAAAATCGCGCGCGTGATCGGTCCAGATCGCGTGATAATCGAGGGAAAGTTCGCTCGCGCTCTCCAGTGAGGCGGCGGCGATCTTCTGGAAGTCGGAGTCGAAGTCGAAGTCGTAGCTGGAATAGAAGAAAGTAGAGTCTATGAAATGTACCTAGGAACGTGAATACCGACGATCATCTTTATTGTAATCATGGACTCAAGACCACAGTAARTTCATCGTAATCTTGGCGCAGTTCACGTTGCCCAAATCCCGATTAGCGTTAATTCCAGCCGCTTAATGTCATATTAGTTTTCTTAACGTTAGCGTTAATCGAGGTTGGAAATGATCAACGCAGAGATCTATCACCTTACCATGTTTTGTATTCCATGGTTAATGTAAAATTAGCAAAGGACTCCATTGTAAGAATTGTCTCCAGTTTTGTGAATTTTTTTATGGTGTTTTAGTTGTATGAGATCACGTTGTGTTTTATAGACAAACAATAAAGAAAGTAAACCGGTGGATTTTCAATTTCCTCTAGTACATTTGCTGGTGTCATACTTGATGCTTTGTAATTTAATTAATTATAGTGAGGTTAAAAAATGGGTACGCCATTGCGATTATTAGTCTAGATTGGTTTCACGTATTAAATGATGGGATAAGGGCAGCCACCTGGGAAAAGGTCAAGCAGTGGTGGCACGTAGTGTTTTTTGCCAATGAGAACAGATAATAGGTATGGCATATGTTTCACGGGTATGGAATATGTTTCACGGGTTTGTACGGTTTGTAACGTCTGCGTGTTAGGCTTGGTCATCACTGCGCTGTAAGGATCAACAGAAACAAAGGATTGTGTGTATGGGAAGAGACCTCTGTAAAGCAAGCTAAGACGTAATGACAGGAGCAAACAAGTAAATAACTTATCGTCCTCAGAAAAAGAGTTTTGTTTGTTTTTGTTGTGGGATTGCGTCGTCGTAAAAACAAGCATAGTTAATCAGATAATTTCCCGATTTTTATTTGTTTCACACTTCTTTTTTCAATGTACAATTGTAGCGTGATTAGGGGTACTGGATTTACGCTGCATGCACAAGACACAGTAGTCCCGTCACTACATGTGGTTATAAAAAAMCAAATAGAGTACAAACATTAAATGTGTGCAACACTTTCCACACACTATTTACTACAAAATAGTGTTAATTAAACAATAGAAAACGATAGAATAGCATAATTTAGCAGTATTTAGTGGTATTTATGTTGCACAGTTTTAGTGTTTGTACTCTGATTKCATTCAAACTCGGTATCCACCAAATCATACTAAGTTGCTACTAATCCCCAATAATTACATAATTCATTGTCCGGGATTTCATTGATCAAGTGTTTTCAAATACTGTATGCCAAAATTATCACCATTGCGTGGTTAAAATTAAGATAATGTTAATTTTTTCCGCCATTTTGGTTTCCCGGGAAAAAAGGGGCGGGACGGGTACAATCCCTTATTTGGCATTAATGAATAAACATGAGTCTTTGCAACGTAATCACTCGAACGGTGTGTGTTGACCAGATCTTTTGCTGTGTTGAGAGCTGTTGGACATTGAACACTAGAAAACGTACAGAATGTCTTCCCAGGTTAATTCCAAAGAAAGAAGGTATATTTTAAGTTTACAATAATGTCGAATTGAGAAGTGTTTTTGAAAAATTATAGCTGTTTTCTCGCTCGTGGACGTGTCAGAGGTCGATGTAAGCTTAAAAAAATCAAAAGAAGTTACTATGAAACTTGAAAAGGGATTTTAAGTTATTTGTTGAAAAATAATTCAGAGAAATTGTACAGTTTTTGGATCAATCGTTGCAAGCTTATGTGGAACGACATGTTACTTGTCATAGTCGATCGATCAGACATTCGTCAGCTGTTGAAATACAATGTAATCATGTTTGTTTATTTGATAAGCGATTGCCTTGGTTATAAAACARTCGGGTCGTTTTGTKKTAGTCTAATACTTCATAATTATTTACATAAGTTGATATATTCGTGCCCACCATACTTATCCAAACAGCTGGAATAATATCTGTTGAAAACTTGGCTGTGGATATAGTGCATCAAATATTGTAATGTAATTATGATTAAGCTTAACTATTTAATATTACAAAATGTATTCAGATAGTAATCACTATTTAGTAACTTGATGCGGTAAACAATTTTCAATTTTCAGCTTTGAATTCAGTCATGACTATGATGAAGTTGAGGAGATTTGTAAAKTGATCCGKAACCAAACCAGTTACAGGCCAACTATTGGTGTTATATGTGGTACAGGACTGTCTGCRYTGGGTGACATGGTGGAAAAGAAAGATGTCATTCCATATGAGAAGATCCCTCAGTTTCCACGCAGTACAGGTATATATTCACACCTATACTGTTCAGGTCAACGGCATCAATAAAAATAGTTATTATGTATGTATAATATTTGTTTGGTTTTGTTGCATGTGTGGTTCAAGTACAATTTATTATTTTATCATCTCATCTATATCAAATCAAAAACAAATACTCTTAGAAATTGAAGATGTGATTTTGTTGTTTCAGTTCAAGGTCATAAAGGTCAACTAGTGTTTGGTACTATCAATGGCAAAACTGTTGTCATGATGCAGGGAAGGTGTCATCTCTACGAGGGACACACAGCGGGAAAGGTTTGTSATGACATCATGATTATTAATTATARCCATGACAAAGATGATGATGATTAATGTTGCCATAGCTATTACACAATAAGATAACAGAAATAGTGGAATTAATGGAATTAATAATTATTATCGATTCCATGTGGGGGAATTTATATATATATTTTATAATCATCACAAAAATCTTTGTATGTACTCTCTCATTCTTAGCAAAACCTTGGAATATCAATGTCAATATTTGTTCTCTTTATACAGATAACTTTGCCAGTACGTGTAATGGCTCATCTTGGCATCAAGACTCTTGTTGTCACTAATGCTGCGGGTGGGTTGAGGCAGGACTGGAGTGTTGGTGATATCATGATCATCCAAGACCACATCAACTTACCCGGCATGACAGGGGAGAGCCCTCTYAGAGGATTGAATGATGAAAGGTCTTTACCTTCCCAGTATAGTTTTTCATATTATATTACATAATGTTAATTGCTCATTTCTTGTTTACCTAGAATGGGGACTCGTTTCCCTGCGCTGTCTACAGTTTATAACAGGGAACTCAAAGTGCTTGCTCAACAAACAGCAAAAGAATTGGGATTTGAGTCTTTTGTAAGAAAGGGAGTTTATACAGCACAAGTTGGACCAGCTTTTGAAACTCCAGCAGAATGCAGATACCTGCAATCTGTAAGTGATGCTAAAACCTTAAATGCCTGTAGAAGTTAGTAAAACAGTGTTTATATGGCTATCTGGTGTGTGTATCATTCATTTGAACCTAAAAACCAAGCCTTATGAACTCTTATTGGAGAACATCCCATCATAACAAACATAACTTAATACTTTGATCTTCCAGATTGGATCAGATGCTGTTGGTATGAGCACAGTTCACGAAGTGGTTGTTGCTGCACATGCAGGGATAAAAGTCCTTGGATTTTCTCTCATAACAAACATAGCAGTCTTGGGATATGATGATGATGCTCAAGAAGCCAATCATGAGGAGGTATTAGAGGCAGGGAGAAAGAGAGCTGTTGACATGCAGAAGCTTGTTGCTACTATCTTACACAAAATGGAATAAAGTTTTTTAACAATGGATGATGGTGCTTACAGCCTGGTTCAGACAGCAGGATGGTATAACAACATAATGTGACATAATGTCCAAAATCCAAGTATTTTTGCATGTCATTGTTTTTACTGTGAACAAAGTGAAAACAAAATCATGATGTAAAGATAGTAGCATTGCAATGTTGGTGTTCTCTTGGTGTGTGAACCAGGCTTTAGAAACACTTGTAGGTAGTTTTAGGGTTTTCATTGATAAATATACTAGGTCTTATCAATTCTCTTATCATTATTGTGTGTGGTCATACTAATGTTSTTGTGTACCTTCCAATGTAAATTTGATCCAGACTTTATAAACAGTTAAAGTTATGATGTAGATCCTTAACAGCTACWTAAAACAATGGGCATCTCAAAGCAACTCCATTTTTGAGGTCAAAGTAAACACACTCAAAGTCTCAAAGATTAAGCTGCTTTGATAGGAGATAAAATCAAGGATCAAGCAAAAGAAATGCTTAGAAAAGTTTTAAAATTCAAAATTGAACAGAAGTAAAATACAAAATAGGTATTGATTTAGTATATTATCAACACTTCAATAAATTGAAGCTTAGGGTTATGCGTTTGAATTTGGGTTGAGAAGTTACTTGCTGAAAAAATGCAGGGTGTATTCAAAAGATAAACTGGTAATRAGTGRGGACAAACAGTAGTGCTAAAATGCCTGAAGTTGAGAAAACACAGGAAAAGGAGGTCACAGTTTTAGTCAAAATTGTTTACATTTTTAGTCAAAATTGTTTACATTTTAGTCAAAATTGTTTTGGGTACCACACAGCCTTGATTCTGGTCTGGACAATCACTTACAGTATATAAAAGAACCATACATTATTACATGGCTTTGAGTAGATTATATTAGATAATGTATAAATAAAAGGCTGCATTCACTGTCAATATGGCAGTGGAATCTGAAGGTTATTTATTACAAAATATCTATACAACTCTATCATTAGGTATAAAATTTTTATTGATTTCATCATATAAATAATTATTTGTATATCTCTAATAATGTATCAATTGTTTACAGTCTTTAATGGTCCATTTTTGTGAATATACAACAGTAATTGTTGCAATAAAGTCTTATGTTAATTAGTTGTATATATGTTGGAATCTTTTATGTACCATTTCCAAACCCAATATAATAAAAATACCAATTCATTGAAATAGAATCCCTTCAMATTTAGTTGTACACAACTAAATTACATTATATTATCATTTCAGTTCTTTTGTTGAATGACATTATCACCTGGATAYATGCCTTTTATATTTAGTATTTAGTTCATATTCATCAATATCATTATCATCTGTTTCTGCTTGTGGTAACATTTCAACAGCTTCTTCTTCATACTTTACCTTCATATCTTTATCATTGGAGTCTACAATAAAAAAACTCCAGTTGGTCTAATTATGGAATAGAGAAAACAATGCAACACAATTTACACTAACCTTTGGTTGCCTTAGTGACAACATGGACACCAATACCAGACAAACACAAGACAAGTCCAACAAAGTTGAGAGCATTCATTTTGTCCCCTGTAAACTCTGCTGCTAGAGACAGTGTACATACTTCCTATACACAAACAAAGGTAGAGGAAAAACCTGTCAAAAACAATGAACTAAAAGCAGTCATTAATGAAATTAATACACTGCAATTGTTGTACCTTAAATATCCCAGATATTGACAATGTAAGACTAGATGTATGAGCAAGAAGGAGAAATTCTGAGATGCTCAGCATAAAAGCCAAAAAACATCCAATAAACACCATCAATGCAGATAATAATGCAACACCAAGATTAGGTGCATTGAACAGGTGGGGAGACAACACCATACGATGACCTGTTAACAAGAAAATCACTTATGGTTTGCTTATTTGGTGGATGAACCATTCACAATATTCCAAACTTAGGTTCTTCAATGACACAATAACATCACATGAACAATGAACACAGAGCTATATTCAGTCTAAATTGACATCTCGGTTCAATGCTTCCTGATCACTGCATGGAATATCATGAATTGATTATATGAAAGGCTCATAATTGGATTTATGAAGGTCGCACACAAGAATTAATGACTGAGCAAATTATAGACGGAGAGAGTAAACAGTGATGTCATAAATTCCTGGACATGCATAGTGTCAGAAAAGCAGATACCTCTTACCTGCCTGGGTTTTCCAAAACAAAGAACCAATAAAACTGAAAGCTTACCTTCCATGTAAAATGCTAAAGGTGCTAAAGTCATCACCATCAAAGGCTGCAAGTGGTAGATAGTATCAATTGGGTTATGAAGTCCTGTGAATGCAACAAGAGTAAATTAATATCAAATATGTGGTGGTGTTTTTTCGTTTAACATACCCAAACTGTTTTTTTGCATTATAATTTGTGTCAATGTCCATCTCACACCACTGAGTGCTGATGCTGTCAAACACTGTAAAATAGATACCGTCACATTAGATTTTAGTATGAAAACTGCTATGAATTATTGTGAAAAGTAAATGAGCAGAAAGGTAAAGAGAGAAATGAAAGAAAGAGAAAAATGGGACATTGAAAGATAGAAAAAGGATTGAATGTGCATGGAAATTAGAGGTTGTGACGAAATTGAACTAGAAAATTACGCAGTGAATACAATTAAAATTCTGATACTTACAATTATAAATCCTTCAGTATTAAATTGTGTAGACTGGTAAGTAAACAAGAATAATCCTCCAGATATCAGTAATACAATGGCCATCAGAGACATGTGCTGTAAAAATATTTCTTTTATTTTAATTTTGAATTAATTTGATGATATTTTCAACATTTTATCAATGATAACTTTGCACTTACCCATTTCTCTATCCTAAATATTAATGCAAATACAAGTATAAAAATTATACTTGTGGACTTTGTCATAGTGTACCTTTAGAAAGTATAAAAGAATATAGAACAGAATGATGATTAGTAGCCTTCCTTCAGGCTTAACGGCAATATTATTGGGCTACCTGTGTATAAGAGCTATTACAAAGGAAGCCCAAATATGAACAACACAGAAATGCAGTTGCTTAATGGGACAGTGAAATGGATAAAATTCACAATAATGATGGATAGTGATAAGGATAGTCATTAAAATGGTGACTTATCATGGTAATGATGGTGATGATAATAACCATGGCAGTATTTATAGTTTAAAAAAACTTACAGAGATATTGTGATAAACATCAAGCTCCAGTTAGAGAATCCTATATCAAGGGAACTTGCTATAGCTAAGGACAAAAACGTTGTTTCCTTAATTAATATTATTATATTTCATTCACTATCTGAAATTTACCAGTTGGCAAGACTCTTTTCAGGTAATCTTCCCAAGTAAGGATGACTCTCTTTTTTCCAGTCTTTATCTCCCAGTAATAGCGAGCCATGGATGCCAACAGAAATACAAGTGTATAGTGGGTTACTGAGACTGACAATGGAAAGTGGAATCTCTAGAAACAATATATAGCATCACATTTCGAACTTAAACAAGATCTAATGGTATTCTTTAAGGCAATCAGGACTTTTCATAGAGGCCTGATAATGGTTGAGGTTGCGTCACAATGATTAGTTGCCTTTTTACCATATAGGATAATAATTCATAGCAATCTATCAATATGTCATTGCAAGTCCTTTCATTGAAGGCATCTTTCAAGAGTGCACAGAAGACCTCTAAATGATCTCATCACAACAAAGACCTCATCATAATAAAGATCAACTAAATTCAAATATTTGAAATGAGATTGATCATTGTTAAAGGTGATCAAAGCCATGTCAAATCAAATGTGAAGAGGATATGGTGATCTAATATATTTATAAAATAATAAAATATTAACTAAGATCATCATACCTTCATCATCCATTTATTATAGAACGTTAAGCTGATGGAAAAGGTGTAGAAGAAAAGGACAAGTCCAAATGTTTTCACAGCAGTAGTTAGTTGCTCAAACCCAAATAATTTACGCCGAACGTGACCCATGATCAATTAAGATGAACGTTCCGTGTCGTGGCAATTTTAATATTACCGGCAAAAAACCCTCTCTTTTAAGCAAAAATTATCAGAAGCTGTCCTATCAGAAGCATCTCTGTCTTTTCCCATCTCCTGGTTTCATATTTTACATTATTTGCCCTCATTTATGGAGACAAAATAACAATTTTGTCATGGATAAAAGTAATCCACATCCGGCGCCATCTTGAATTTTACGAAGTGGGGCGGTGAAGGGGGGAGGTGTGACTACTGAACCAAATGAATTCTTGTGGGTTACCTGTGGTCAAAGGAGTCAAACGTTTTGGCGCTCAAATGGAGTTTAAAGTCTCACAGTGGTGAAAACTATTGAAGAATGGGGCTGAAATGTACATTTTGTATATACTGGAAGTAACAGTTTAGGTAAGGGAACTTTATATCTTATGAAATGGCTAACTTAAGCTTAACATCTGCTTTTAGCAACCGGTTATTCCATCTTTAGTTAGTTTAGACCACAATTAGGTTGAAAAAGCTTATATACCAATTTCAAACATTTCCTCAGAAGCACAGAGAATTTTGAGAGGGATTAATCATGACCCTTACGGAAAGGACTGGCTCCTATGGCTAAAATATGTCTTCTTCAGGCTCACACAAAGGCGCATGCTTTTCCAAACATTTCTGAGTGTAATTAATTAATATAATACAGAGGCAGTCTGTCAATGGCCATATTTTATTGTTAAACTAATTATAAGAATTACAATTCTTGATGAAAGAGATATTTTATAAGCTATTTACAATCAATATTCGGGTTTCTTTCATTCTAAAGAGCATTGTACTTATGCCCATTTGACTCCACAGCAAGGAAATTGAGTTGTTCTTGTACCATTGCTCATCTTTGCCTGATCCCTTACAAGTTTCTGTGTTTGAGAAATATAATTGTCTAAGTATTAACAGAGAATTTTGTTTATCGCATAAAATCAAGGTTTGATCTCTTTTATTCAAGATTTATGTTTCTTGAATAACTATTGATTAAGGCATACAGTAGTTGATATTTTTATAAATGTTGTGGTACTTTACCTCTTTTGAGGGAGATGTATGTAATTAGTCCTCTGTAGGGCTATAAATACATTGGAAGCACCAAAAGTTAAATCGTCTACGTCGTTTGCCAGGTTGTACTGGTGCAGGGCGCTAAATTACATAATGCAAATGAAATTCAGTTGTGTGTAGATATTAGACTATAGTTTTGCTTCAATCTTTCTTTGTACAATAATATAAGTCAATGATAGCATATTAAGGAGCTATTCACTTACAATTACTGGTTCCTGTGGTTCTTGTACCATCTCAATTTCAATATCTGGTAAATTTGCTGGTTCATTTCGCCTTTTCTGTCTATTAGACTATTGAATATAAGAAATTTGTTAGAAAATGAATCTCTTGTGATGTACTTAAATCATCCTGTTTGTCCAAGTTTTCTTTGCACTTACCAGGAGCTGTAACCAGCGATTTTGGACTGCGCTGGACTTGACAGTTGTATCTTCTTCTGCAGGGTGAGGTTTCTTCATCTTGCCTTTGGTCCTTTTCTGTGCAGTATTTGTTTGTGTGATATCTTGTGCCCCAGGCTCAGTGCTTGTACCAGGAGACATGGTTACTTCAGAGTCAGCATCAGTAAGACTTGTTGAGTCACTGTGAGGAGAAGCTGTTTGATCACTATGTTTTCTTCTAAAGCAAGCAGTAAATGATTCCAGTTTCCTTTTGGCCCTTGAATGAATTGAATTTATCATTACATCAAATTGTATAATCATTTTCATCACAATCATAAACAATTCCTACCATGACTTTTGAGAAGCACCAGGTCCTTTTCCCCTTCTTTCCGTTTTCGATGAAGATTTTAAGCATTTTGAATCAACGCCCTAAAGACAAGGTTCAAATTTATAAACACTGAAATAATAGAATTAAGGAAGTCTTTTCTTTTCGAAATACCGTTAAAAGGCAAAGCAATATGAAAGAAATTAATAAAAACAAGTACAACAAAAACAAGTAACGAAAAGTTCATTTTTCCTTACATGTCTACTGGCTTTGACAAGGTACTTAGTACTGGATGCTTTAACATCTGAAATGATGAAGAAATAATTAATATTATTACACTATTTGAAATATAATGAGTGCTTGAATGAATGAAAAAAGACGAAGAATGAAATGTGCAAATGAATGAATAAAAAACAAATTGATTGCACGCTGTTACCTTCAAGTGTGATTTCTTCTAATGACGGTTCTTCTACGGGAGGCATAGAATTAATGCTTGCACTATGTTCTAGTTCCTTATTTAGGGGAGTGGCGTGTTCATTTGCTTTCGAATCCAGGCTCCTGTCGTTGACTTCGATTTCATTTGAAGAAGGTTGCAGAGGTTGAGGAAGCAATAACAGATCTTGTTCTTCTTCTTGTATAGGGTCTAATGTTCTTGCAGGCAAGTGGTCGGATGGGTCTACCAATGCACTTGACTCTATTAACTTTGGCTCGTCTACAAATACTGGGTGGGTTGTTTTGCCTGCCAGTTCAGTTACTCTGACATGGTATAGTATCCCCTGCCTTCTGGCTTGGATTTCAGCAGATATCAAGTTGTAACTAAAACAGTTTTTATGGATGAGGTCTTTCGAATTAAAGTATCTTGGGTCAACGTTTGAACGCAACTGAGCATTGCCAAGTACGTTACTGCAGACGCGATAACACAGGGGAACAACTTTGGGCAGTAATTCCTTCAGTGGTACTCTAACTTCAGGTAATATTTTTCTATGCCGGCGTTTTACAAGGCCCTTAAAACGGTTTCGTCGCTGTTTGTTCTTGGATCGCTTGTCCTCAGATCCCTGCAATTACATATGTAATGCCCGCGGTTACATTTTTTTTGCGTTAATGAGTTGAATTTTCCAGCAACAATGCATACTTACTCGTTTGTTATTTTCTGCTGTCTGATTTACAATGTGTTTTCTGGTAGACGCACCATTGATTCTATTAGTGTCCAGATATTCCTGGGGTTTCATGTCTTTAGTTGATAGACACGATGTTCTCTGTATTTGGGTGTGGTTTTCTACCGATGTGTTACGCATTCGGTTAATTTCAGTTTCCAGATATTCCTGGATTTCCATGCGTTTTGATGGTACGCTGTGTGTGTTTGTAGTCATTGTAGGCTCGTACGTAGTAGTCATGATTTCTTCGACTGTAAGAAATTCCTGGAGACCACTCGGCTCCGCCTCCTGGTCCGCGACGACTTCAGGCTCGCTCTCCTCGTCGCCTACACCAGCTGATCTCATCTCTCTGCTTGCTTCTTCAAGCCAAAAAGGTTTTCCAAAAGTTTCTGACATTCTCGTTTAAATAGTAACAAATTTTGAATAGACACAGTGTTGAACAACTGACTTCACCGCCTCAAAACTGATTTGTGATTCTAATTTGAAAGACTGATTGTGATGTAAAACTACGTCACCAAAAACTATGGTAACGTGCGCTAAAACGAGGCAATTGTTTCGGAAATCCTCATTCTACACTTACATAGATTTGCAAAAATTCGTAAGCCAGCTGTTTTTTCATGTTTTTCCCTAATAATTGCCTATTTCATTGAATTTCTGAGTTGGATTTATGGCTGATCTAGAAAAAAGCTGAACGTAATTCTAGATACGTCATAAAATCAAGCGCGCGCTTTTTCGATGGATTACGCGTGTCTTTCTATGCGAAACTGCTGTCGCAAAGTACCGAGGTATAACTAACATGGATGTCTGGCACTTTTCAGTGTCGGGCGTTATACCATATACGTTCTAATTTGTTCTTTTCAAGGAGATTTTTTTCTTATTATTCAAAAATTGTACATACGTTATGCGTATATCTACTACTTGCTTAATTCTCTCTTGTTTTTTGCCTTTCTTTTCCCTTCCGACATGATTYACGTTATCATATGCGCGCAGTACGGCTCGTGAAATATCCGAGGTCAATGCTTTTTCTAAACGTTGTCACTTAGTTTAATCATAATTGAGAAAAGCAATGGGGATTGACGAATAATGCAAGTGAATTTCTAGAGGTCGGAAATTTACTGTTAGTTTGAGCCGGATATCACAATACCGGCTTTGCTTTTTACTCGGCGTTTTAATGGTAAAATCAAAAAAATGAAAACTGTGGATTTAAATGTTTATTTTGATGTTTACTTATTCAAAGCAAGTTTCAAGACAGTAACTACCTGTACGGTGCCAAAACGTTTTTCACAAACAGCACACAGTAGGATTAACATGACATTACAAGTGTTAACGACCCGTTGGTAGACCACCGCACTCGCTGGCAGCTTCTTCATTTTCTCACACTGCGAACACGTTAATATAAAAATGTTTACAAGGTGATAATTTATATATTTCTATCCAATAAAGGTCCTTCATTTTCTGTAAAAACAATCGGTTTTTGTTATCGTATAGTATGTTTTTTAGCTTTAGTTATAAATCACTGAACCTAGAAATGACTTGTTCAGCTTTGCATTTGTTTTCTGGTAAAAATATTGATTTGCGGTTTTCTAGAAAATTAATAATTCTGCTCAGTAATTTAAGAAGGATAAAGAAGAAGTGCCATGTAATGTAAATAACATAAGTTTGTAGCGTGTAGTTTTGGCCGCAAACAACATTTTCTCTGTGGGAATTCCTCCAAACAACAACCAATTTGATTCGTATACCGCTAACAATGCGTCGTGAAAGATTACATCAAAGGTTTATTATCACGAATATTATTGCTGAAACAACGTCAAAATGATATCACCTGAAACGAAATATTTTTTTCTCGTGGTTTTATTCGCAAACGTAAGTTATTGTGTCGTTGTAAAACGCGTGGCCTTGACACAGCATCACTAGTTCCCACACATATTAAGTAATTCCATGTAACATAAATTGTACATTTGTGAAACTTTGCGCCGGTTAAATAACAGATAAGCAATTAAATAACATGATATTATGTTTTTTAGTGAGGGTTTTGAATTTCTTTTTTGTAGATAAATGTTGCTGAATGTCAACAGAAGAGAAAGGGTAAGAGTGCATTAAAATGATACTTCATAATGATAAAAAAGGTTCAATGGATACCATGACATTGAATTTCTCGTGTTATGCCGTTATTCTTTCATGTTATAAACATAATTGACTAGAAGTGACATCAGGAGAGCCATTGTACGAAGGGTTCACACAAATTCATTCATACAAATTCTATCGAGTGGATGACTGTGTCCTCACTTCGTACAGCCGGGTCCAGTTCTATTCAACTTTAAAATAGATTTTCAATAAAGTAAGATTTAGCGGAGACTGAATGAACGTAAGGCACTTGTCGGCTTATTTGGAAAGTGCAAAATGAAGCGATGAAGGAAAGGTTTATGAAATCGGACTCCGTGTCTTCAGTCTTTACTTCATAGCTAGTGAAGCTGAAATAAGGTCACTGTATAATATAATGTTGTTGAACTACATTTACAGTTCTAGCAAGTTGTGGTCTTAGTGTCAAGCCAGTTGCAGTATTTCCATTGGATGGTGAATATGGTGGAGAAGAAGCCATTCATAATGACATCAAAGCAAAACTTACCGGAGTATCCACCATCCAAGGGCCTGACGGGAAACAAGATGGCGGTTACATGCTGCACGGTAAACCTGGGTCTTACATTGAAATCCCCAACAGTGAACGAGGGAAACTGGACATTAGCAAGTCAATTAGTATACTAGCTTTCATTCGACCAATCACAGCCAATCTTGGACCAATTCTTAATTACAAACCCGATGGACATGGTGTCCAGGTATGGACTAACGGACGACAGAACGGCAAAGGTAGATATCACCGACAGTTGTATTTCTCCTTTCTTAATATAGTTTCGTAGTAGCACTAGAGATAATAAAACTTTAAAAAATACGATATACTTTTTTAATCTTAACATGTTTCAGCATTACATTATGCCATCCTCAGAAGAATGAGAATAAAAGTCGTTACAAATGATTATATAGTCTAGGTACAAATGATTGACATGTAATATAATATGAACTAAATGAACTAGCGTGACTAATAAAAATAACAAGATAACCAGTACATGTTATCTGTTATCCCTATTTATAGATAATATGACAGCTACAGTTTAAAAGAAGTTTTCATATGCTTTACTTGAACGTTAAGTTCAGGTTTTAGATTGTTAATATAAAAAGCTTCTTTAAGTTTAAGGAGTATTTTATACTTTGCAGTGTCTAAGATCTTAAAACAATTCAAAGAGTATTTATCACTACAACTTTTAGATTTCGTGAGGTGTTTAAAGATGTGAGAGTTTTTATCAGAAACAGTATGTTCTTTAATCCTTGTAGAAAAATGGCGAGAAGTCTCTCCAATATAACGAGATTGACATCCCGCACAAGTAAATTGGTAGACTACACAAGATTTAAGACCATCTGGAATGGCATCTTTAAAACTAAAAAGTTGTTTGATTTTAAATGAAGTAAAAACAAGTTTAAGGTTAAATTCCGGACAAAAAAGTTTACATAGTTTTTTAATTTTAAAATTAGTTATTTTAGAAAAGTTTCCAATGTATGGTAGTTTAAAATAACGAACTTCGGCAGAAGTTTCCTGTGAGACATTGTTAGCTACATTATTAGCAATGCTAAAAATGTAGCTAACAATGTCTCACAGGAAACTTCTGCCGAAGTTCGTTATTTTAAACTACCATACATTGGAAACTTTTCTAAAATAACTAATTTTAAAATTAAAAAACTATGTAAACTTTTTTGTCCGGAATTTAACCTTAAACTTGTTTTTACTTCATTTAAAATCAAACAACTTTTTAGTTTTAAAGATGCCATTCCAGATGGTCTTAAATCTTGTGTAGTCTACCAATTTACTTGTGCGGGATGTCAATCTCGTTATATTGGAGAGACTTCTCGCCATTTTTCTACAAGGATTAAAGAACATACTGTTTCTGATAAAAACTCTCACATCTTTAAACACCTCACGAAATCTAAAAGTTGTAGTGATAAATACTCTTTGAATTGTTTTAAGATCTTAGACACTGCAAAGTATAAAATACTCCTTAAACTTAAAGAAGCTTTTTATATTAACAATCTAAAACCTGAACTTAACGTTCAAGTAAAGCATATGAAAACTTCTTTTAAACTGTAGCTGTCATATTATCTATAAATAGGGATAACAGATAACATGTACTGGTTATCTTGTTATTTTTATTAGTCACGCTAGTTCATTTAGTTCATATTATATTACATGTCAATCATTTGTACCTAGACTATATAATCATTTGTAACGACTTTTATTCTCATTCTTCTGAGGATGGCATAATGTAATGCTGAAACATGTTAAGATTAAAAAAGTATATCGTATTTTTTAAAGTTTTATTATCCTTTCTTAATACTTTTCGACATTATCTATTTGCCTCTTTTTTCAGGTATACTAACTGCTCGATTCAACAAGAGAACCCTCAGTCTATCGAAATTTGTATCTAAAAACGTACTGAACCTAAATCAATGGAATTTTATTGGTGCAACCTATGATTACAACACCGACATAGCATCCCTGTGGCACGACGGTCGAGAGGTGCTGAGTACTAAGTTAAATTCATACAATAACTATGAGTTGGCTACTCAGTTTCCGATAAGACTCGGTGCGTTGTCAGTAAGCGGTCTTGGTGCGTATCAAGGAGGGATATCGTGTTTACAGTTGTACTCAACGGTATTGACAGGTGAACAGATCAAGGCTGCTATGCAGGCATGTATATCAGGTATGTATATCTCCTGATACCGTGCATTATCCCGTATACAATGTTATGCCGATCATGTCATTATAGGCCGGGGTGTTAAAAGCCCGATTAGTGTTAATCCAGGGTTAACTACATAGGTTTTCTAAAAGTAACCCAGGATTATCTCTAGTCGGGCTTTGAATAACCAGCGGCCGGCCATGGATATCATGATTATGATAATTAATAATGATAGGATTATGATGATATTCAGGTGACAATTGATGGCACGAAGATGAGAAAACCTAGATCGTTTTATAGTATAGTAATGAAAATAGTTATTAGTTCATGATCACATTTATGACAATCCAATGTTTATCTCTACAGCCTCACCCGTGACATCTTTGTCAGTGAACGTCATCCCGCCATCACTTAGAGTCGAAGTCAACCAATCCCTATTCTTGTCTGGTTTCACTCAAGATGGTGGAATGAACGGTATTTTCACATTTAACTTCGGTGATGGAAGGGTTATTACTCCAAATAGCAACACCGCAGCTCATGTCTACCGCACAGCAGGACAATACATCATTGTTGTCATAGTAACAGACCGCTGTAAACTTGGTACGCCGATTCAGAAAGAATTGAAAGTAATAGTAACGAACATCGTTCAAAGACTTCAAGGTTTGGCTTTAAAGTCGATCCCAACCTCCCCTGGTCATAACGCGGTCATAACGTTGAACTTCCCTTCTGTCAGTAGTTTCAATTGCTCTGTCGAGTTTGAAGATGGACAGAAACAGTTTATTTCAAGTCCTTTATTCCAAGCAGTCGATTCTGTTAATGTATCGTATGTGTACAGTACAGATGGGTTGTACAATGTCTCCGCGGTCTGCTGGAATCGTATTAATTCGTGTAATGATTCTACAGTCATTTCAGTCCAGTACGCAATCCAGGGGTTTGCTATTCAACCAGTAAAACCCTCACCAACAAGAAACGGTGAAAATGTTACTGTACAGTGGTCTATATCTCAGGGTAGTGGTGTTAAATATCAAGCCACTGTCAACACTAATGTTAGCATCAATGTCGTGACGTCATCTGATACAAAACAAGGCCGTTCAATTATCACGGCAAAGGATTATGGGACTGTAGGACGTCATTCAGTTACCATAACAGCAGGTAATGCTGTCACTCGTCCTCTCAAGGTGGATGGCTCATTTGAAGTGATGCATCCAGTATCGGCATTCAATGTAACTCTGTCGAGTAACATCGGTCACTTCATGGCTAAGAAACCAATGAACATCACTATTACAGCTATTAGGCATGATCTGTACGACTCTCCGCTGTACACAATTGACTTCGGAGAGATGAGCCCGCCATTGATAACAAAAGCAACAGCGGTGACATACAGTTATGCGCGTCATGGTTGCTATGTTGTCAACGTTACTGGGTCCAATGCAGTGTCCAGTCTCTCTGTTCTCCGACCAGTTTGTATCGAGCAACAAATGGATACTTTGAGAGGACTGCATGTTCACTCGAATCCAGCCAAAGTCGACGAGAATATTTCTATACGTTTAAATCTCAACAATGGTTCTCATTTTAGCTGCATTGTTCGTTTCTCTGATGGAGTCGAGATATCAACTGGACAAAAACAGACACTAGATGTCCGCGTTCAGCGAAACTTTTCAAAGCCTGGGGTCTATGACGTCACAGCCGAGTGCTGGAATAAGATAAGTCATTCAAGGGCAAATGGTAGAGTCATTGTACAACACGCTGTCCAAGGCTTTGTGTTACACCCCATAAAACCTGTAGTATTCGGAAGAAATATTACCATTAGTTGGAGCGTCACACAAGGCAGCAACATCACATTTAATGCCAGTTTTATGTCACGCAATCTTGATTTTATTACTGATGGAAATATGAGCATGGCTGTTGTAACAGCTGATCAATATGACGAAGAAGGACTATATAGCGTGACTGTCACGGCACGTAATAAAGTCACGCATCCCGTCACACTTAAAGAAAGGTTTTCAATTGAAAAGTTTCTATSYGGGGTGAAGGTCACGTTAATGTACACTGAGAACAATGTGGAACACAGTGGACTTGGAAAAACCAAAACGTACTTTCCTATTGGGTTCCCTGTGTCGGTAAGAACAGGCTTGGTATCACATTCCAAGTACGCCTATTACAATTATAGTCTTGATGGAGTTCCCATGGACTCATGGAAGAACAAAAAGGTCTTTAACTTGCCACCGTTGAATGTCGGGATGCATAATATCAGTGTTACCATAGTGAATAATGTCAGCGGTATCAACCATAGAGTACAGGTGTTTTTCCAAGAGAGAATTAAGTTTCTTGATCGCACTCTGCTATGTTCTTCTCCTGTTGTTATTGGTGACAAGGCTAGGATTCGTCTCAGCGTCGGCGCAGTTCCTCTTGACTCGTGTTTGTTTGTTCACGTGTCCAATGATACAACATATCATTATGGTAACAGTCACTGCGGCCAATTGACAAGCAATACATCGTCAATATCAAATGACGTCAGTGATATTCCTTCATACATAGATCTTTATCATGTTATGGCATACGCTGGTAAGACTGTAGTCAGAGTGCAACTAGGTAATATAGTTTCCATGGATACGTTAACGTGTGATGTTGAGGTACTATTAATCGCATGTACATATCCTGCTATCAGTCTTGAACATATCAGCAGGCAGCCATCTTTACCTAGGATCATTAAACGGTCAGAGTCTTTAGATGTTCACTCAGAGATCAACGTATTTTGTCCTGCTTCTGAGGGAACTCTATTTGATTGGAAGATTTACCAATTTAACGAGAAAACAAATACTTCCCAAGTCATGAACCACACCGGTTCAAGGCTACCTTCATTTCGTATTGAAAAAAGAAGTCTTTGGTTTGAACTGTATCGTGTAAGTCTAACAGTGCGCATGTCCAACCCATCTCTTCAGGAGTACATGTCTGAAGCATCTGGATATGTTAGGATCGTCCCGTCTGATCTCGTGGCTAAAATCAACGGTGGAACAACACTAAGGAGGGGAATTGGTCCTGATATAAATATCGATGGCTCTTCATCCTATGACCCGGATGTAGGGCAGAACCATCTTTCAGGTATCATCTGATTTACTCATTGGTCTGATGTTCCTGTTATCATTATTTACTCATTGGTCTGATGTTCCTGTTATCATTATTTTTAGGGTCGGCGTTAATGATTATTTTTACATTGTTTCAAGAATTATGTAACATCATCGTTGTTTGTTATTTCATCCTTGTAACTGTCTTTGCAGGGATTACTTTCCTGTGGTTGTGCCGTAAAGCTGGCGCCTCGTTCCCAGCTCACCTCATCAACCTGACAAGTRACTTCGTCGTATCCGACCTCCTGAAAACCACAASTAACAACAATGGCGCATGCTACTCTACAAATGGATTTATAATCAGTCACAATTTCTCAACGTTTGCTTTAAAGACCAGCAAACTCGGATTGGAGAAATATGCGATAAAGTTGGTTATTCGAAAAGGAAGTCGAGTCAGTAGCGCTGAGCAAACCATTGAGATTGTTGAAGGAGAGCCGCCTTCTGTTGATATTATGTAAGAACACTTTTTCTCTCATTTTTTAATTACCGAGTTAGTTTTGAAAATGATTGCAAGCGAAGCACTTTATTGAAAGCCTTCCGTTGTCACTCTTTGATTTGTTTATTCTTAGATGCGCAGAAAATTGCAGAGAGAAGGTGAATCCTTCAGAACGTCTTTCTCTACAAGCCAAGTGTAACGGTGCAGGGTGTTGGGGTGACCTGCTCTACGATTGGACTTTGTACATCTTATCAGGATCAAACACGTGGACAGCACGTGATTACAATAGCAGCCTAGCAACGTCTAAACAAGGCTCACCAATAACAATAATAGGCAAGAATACTTTAGAGGGTGGTCGGCAATATCGAATTGAAGTTACCGCATCAAGGAAAATTGGACCGAAAGGTCTGGCTTCTGAAGTCTTTATTGTTAACAGTCCACCGTTTGGCGGGAAATGTGACGTGTCACCACGTGTTGGTCACGTGCTTATGACCAAATTTTACTTTCGATGCAGTGATTGGAAAGACGCGGATGAGCCTTTGAGTTATCAATTTTTGTTTTCAAGTGATGGTAGTTCCAAGACCCTTCTCTACTATGGAGCTAAGGCTGAGATTCGAGAGGGTTTGCCACTTGGTTCTTCGTCTGTAAACTATACACAGGACATAGAAATCAGAATAACAGACAGACTTGGTGCAAAAACCAACTTTTATTTAAGTGTAGAGGTAAGTCTTACGTCAATAATCATTGTTACTTATATTCTTAATATTTGAATGTCTCATTGTTTCTGTTTTATCACTTTATGTTGATAGAGATCTAAAATTCAATCACTTATAAGTGGGCGTCAAACAAGAAAGCATAGTATTTGAAACTGTTATTTCAAGTTTTATTACTGTAATCTTATTATTCTTATCATGCAATCTAGTTATTGTTATTCAAATGTTTCATGTTCTCAGATGCTCATTTTAAGTATCAGTCGTTTTTATACTATAGGTACACATAAAAGGATGTATTCTTTCAGTTCATACTTCGGTTATTAAAATTAAACTGAAATTGAATTATCAGCAAGCGAAAATTATATCTGAGTATTAAATGGTAGTTTTATGCTGATTTTATGCGACGAAAGGAGCACCGAGCTCGAAAGAAAGCCATGTACAGTATAAGTGGGACTTGATTAAACAGAATTTATCTTTATCTTTATTATATTTATATTTTAGTGTTCTACCCGCATCGGGTCTAGGCGTATATATGCTGATATCATGCGACTGGTCCGGAATGATATGTTTGATATATGCATACACTACTAATATCGTACTAACAATGATAGTCTCTCTTCGTGCTTTGATGTGATAACTTATTACAGCAAGCAGTGTCCTATCACATGGTGTGTTCAGAGTTTAAATGGCAAACAAGCCTCCACCCCACGTGGTACCAATAGCATTGCCATTTGGTAGTACTGCTATGTAGGCGCAGTTATTGCTTAGTTCATTTGTTTGTCCAATGTAACGACCATCCAAAGTATACTTGTTTACCCGTTTACCATTACACACCAGTAGATTGCCATCGCTATCAATCGTCAAACCTCGAGGTTCTTGTAGCTGCCCAGCACTGCAGTCCTTTCCACCAATCGTCCTGATTATAGTTGGTTGCTGTCTGGTCTTCATTTCAAAGACATGAACCACTGATGAGCTATAATCACTGACATAGAATAGTCCTTTGTGCGTGATAATATCAAAAGGGTGTCCATTATTCGCCAGGTTGAACTGATATAGATAATCACCATCCTTAGTGAACGCCTGTATACGATGATTACTATAGTCACATACATAGATGTTAGAAGCATCATCAACACATACTCCACAGGGATACTTGAACTGACCATTACCTTCACCTTGACAACCAAACGTTTTTACTGTTTTCCCTTTAAGAGTGTCAACAACGCATATTCTTTGGTTTTGGTGATCAGCTATGACTAAATCGGTCTCATTAAGAAATGCTAAATCCTGTGGATATTTATACTGTTCCTGGCCACTACCATGGCAACCAAATTCCAGTAATAAGACTCCCTCCATGTTGAAGACTCTCACACAGTGTGAAGAGTTATCTGCCACAGCAATTCTATCGTATGTCGTATTCAATGTTATACCATTTAAGGTTTTTGAGTCCACATTCATATCTTTTGCCAACTTTAAGTCTTTGATTGCTATGTTTTGCGGTTTGACATTCATCACAACTGGACTGTTACATACAGGAATACCACGTACTTCAACGTGCGCTGTTACTTGACCAGGAAACTGGGCAGTTAAGTCCACCATGGCCTGACCATCAACCTCCATCAGTTTCTCACCAATCTTCACGTCTTCTTCAGGGGTAACCTGTATGGTTATATTATCCAGTGATTCTTGAGCGACTTTTCCTTCTGAAGTTTTCAGTACTATTGTTAGCTTTGTTGTTTTCATAGCTTCTATTTTAGGCTCCACTTTCAATAAACACGACTTTGCATCTGCAGGCTTATTGAATATCGCTACTACTCCTAAACCAGTTTCCACTTGATTGTGAAGTTCTTCATTGGGTCTGAAATTTATTACACCAACATCTTGTTGGAACGGTTCATAAGTGAGTTTTTTCGAGCATTCTGGGTCTCGAATCTCCATCATTTCACTTGCTGTTCCATTTTGAGCAAAGTATTTGACGTACTCTTGCGCTGCTGAAGTGTGATGCAAAATTCGTAAATTCCTTTCTGCTTTCGTTATTGATTTCTGAATTTCGGCCAAAAGTTGTTGTTTTTGGTCAATCAATGTTTTTACCAAATGTTCTGTCACTTTCTCGACATTTTCTTTAGCTTTTTGTCCATAATCTCGGATGTCAAAGGCGATTTCTTCTTGTTGCTTTCTTTCCTCTTCGTTAGTAGCCAATCTCTCGATTTCTTCAAGGTTTTTAGATAGACCCTGTTTCTCGTGAGTAATGAATTCCTGCAGTGATGATAGGTCATGCTTGTTGTGACTGTGATCTTTCAAGCAAAGAAAGCAAATGAGAGTATCACAGTCTTGACAATACAATTCAACATCTTGACTGGAGTGGATTTTACATGACTCTTCTCCTTTCATCATTGTTTCAATGTCTTCCTTAGTCGGGTTGGACAACGAGACAACTCTATGGTTATTCATGGCTGCAAATTTAGCATGCAAACCAAGACATTCGTCACAAAACGAGGAATCACAGTCTAGACATCGCCATAATGCTTCACAATGACTCGCTTCAATCGAACAAACTTTCTGGTTTTCTAGAAACAACAAGACTTGTACGACTCTTGAGTGTATTGGGCTGGTTTGTAAGTCTTCCACGTCGTCAAGTTGTTCAAGCACGGTTTGTGAGGTACACTGAGGACACTTGAAGACGTTGACTTGTTCATCGAGTTGTGCGTTTGACTTGATACAAGACTTACAAAATGTATGGAAGCATTGTAACAACTTGGGTTCGTACATCGTCTCATTGCAAAGCAAACACTGGACTTGATTCTTAAGATCTTCCACGAATGATTCCATCTTATTCTACTTCGGTTTGTAAAGAAAGCTCAAGCAAAGCGTGTCTTGATGAACGTAGGTTCTGGGAAAAGTAAGGAATATCTGTGGTAATCGTTTCCGGGAACTGTTAGTGGTTAGTCGCGTGACTAGCTAACCATCGCGTGACTAACTAATTATCGCGTGACTAACTCCTGGTAATCGTGACATATGCATACATGACATGTTAATGAAGCTACACGGGGTTTATTTAACAAATTTAAGATCCACGAGACGAGTCTAGACGATTCGATGATTCCAACTGCGGTAAATAAGAGGATATACTACGCGAAACTGTCATTAGTTTTTTTACCACAAATAATTGTTTTACCAGTACTGCGCGCGTTTTGAAAGCTTAAAGGAACTGAAATCTCATTTCAAACTAAACCAAAACATTTATTTTAAGAAATCTACAACATTTAGTAAGATATTGTATATATTGTAGTCACGTCCCCCTCATCAAGACAGTTCTCAAGTCATGGACGAGATCACTAGTATGACATCAGGCAATAACAGTGTACTTGACACGTTAAGGAAATCAGGCCAGGCACAAGCTGTTACTCTAACTATTAACACGATCAGCTCTTTACTAAACACACCAACCAATGGCAGTCAAGATAGTAAAGAACTACAGAAAAAAACACAGGTAATTAACATCAGTCAGTAATGGGAACCTTCCAGGGGGGACCATCAGTCAGTAATGGGAACCTTCCAGGGGGGACCATCAGTCAGTAATGGCTCTGTTCAATTTCATTTCTTCCGTAAAAGGTTTTGTGGAAACTATCCTGGCTCGGACCTGGGGCCGGTGTTATGAAGGGTATATAAAGGTATTCATTCAATAGGTTTTGTACCGGCATATGTTATAAGGATTTCTCCACTGGATCTCGCAATTAACCTTTGCACAACTACCTCCTGATGTCTTAATTATCTTATTTTTCAAGGCTCGAAGTAAAATGATTGGAAGTTTGAGCGAAATCAAGTCAACAAACATGGAATCCCTAGTACAAGTAACCTCCGCCATGACACAAGCTACTCAAGTCAAAGATGAAGTTGATTCTCAAGCACAAGTGACGTCAGCAGATACTCTTAGTCACGTGGGTCAGATGCTTGGTAGCAATGACGATGATGATGTAGGTTTTGACTCCATGGAAAGCAGTGCTGATAGTTTCTTCTCTGCTTTTGGTAATGTAGTTGGAATGGTGTCCTCTTCAGCTGCACAATCTTCTAAGCCAACTGAAAAAAATAGTTCTATCGCTCCTGTAAGCAATGCTGATAAGGTAAGTAAGATTTGTTTAACGGTTCGTTTRAAAAAGTAGTTTTATTTAATTGTGTAAATATTACAGGCGAAATCCTCTGCCAAGTCATTGATTGGTTCAATGTCTGGTGTAGCAAAAAGTCTTCTCAAACGCAAACTCCCTCAAGAACAAGCGACCACGTTTGTTAAGCCGAGCATGCGCGCTAGTCTAAAACGAACAAGTGTCGAAGACATGGACAGCGACGACCTGGCACTAGGAAGTGAGGGGAAGTTTGTTGCTTCTATCGGCAAAGACCTAATGAACATGAATTTAGTGGACGGGAAAACATCGCTTGATCAAGAGGTAAGTACGATAATGTTAGAACACTGTACGTCAAAATACGCTTTCAGAGTTATATGAACATAATGATATGTAATCATGGTTGCTGGGTGTCATAAAATGAGTAAAAGAATTGGAAACAATGAATTGTACCACCAGAAATCTTTATACTGACCATACAAGAAGAGATTTTTAGACTTCATGAGTACCCACCAATCTTACATTTAAGGATATTTTGATACTACTTATTTTTAGGCTTTTACATTCAAAGACAACATATATTCATGGGATAAATCGTCGTCCGATGTCACAAGTCCTGTGTTAAGTTTATCGTACTCTGTAAATGGTAAACCTCTAGCTGTCAATGGTTTGTCAAACCCTGTACAGTTCATCATGGAAAGAAAACAACCTCTACCAGACCAAGAAATCTTTGTCTTGACAATAGGTCGTGTGAACTACCATCGGCTAGTTGTTCCTACTAAAGATGACTCATTTTCAATCGAGGTGTCCCCGCTTAACTGCAGCTATTCACTGAACATTACAATGAGTCGTACAGTCAAACCAACGTCTTCTGAATACGATCGGGTCAAACAGATCAATCCAACAATATCTACAGAAAACTCTTCACGATGTCTATACAATGAAGGGGGAAATGTTTTATTTATATCCAATGGAAATCTTTCTTCTGGTGTGTATTATGTGGGTATATCTACACATGTCCCGGATTCTCCACCAAATGCCACATTAAAGTACTCTATGAGAGTCTATGCGTCTAAGTGTTTATATTGGAGTGAGGAAGATGAACGTTGGAAAGGAGATGGTTGTATGGTAAGTGTTCTATGGCGTTACACCAGATGACTTGTAATACAATTCCACCGTCTTGTATTTGGTCTTGTAGGGAGGACCGCTGACAAACAGCACACACATCCAGTGCCTAGCAACCCATCTGACGTCGTTTGGATCAGGAATGTTTGCTGCACCTAACCCTATTGACTTCAGTCGGGTATTGGTTGGGTTTAAAGAGGCTTTCGAGACAGGTATATATTAGTATACAGAGTACAAACACTAAATGTGTGCATCACTTTGTACTATTTATTACTGATATATTATCTAAATAACAATGCAAAGCAATTCCATTATTTAGCAGTATCTACTGGTATTTATTGTATACACTTTTACCGTTCGTGCTCTGCTATTTGGTGAAGATTAGATTTAGATTGGAAATCTAACAAAGATGCTCTGCTTGTATAGAACAGTCAATTGTATTGAGCTTGAATAGATTCAATATATATGTAACATGGAACAATGTACTTTATCTTCTTTCAGGTAATGTTGTGGTGCTTTTCACAGTCTTGGGACTGTTTCTTGTTTATTCGTTACTCGCTATTTGGGCTCGACGGACGGATAACAAGGACACCAATCAGGTATTACGTCATCGATGTCTTGTTTTTCCTGTAGTCGATATAGAGTCAATTTCGTATGAGTGGGAAACGTACGGTAGAAATAACCGCACGGTTACCGCACAGTTACCGGACCTGGCCTGCACAATTTTTGTGGTGGGCGGTGGGCTCAATACTCTAGATGACAAGTTCATAAATACACGAGTAAAAGTCGTATTTTCTTCTTCCAGCTTACGTCAATTCTTCTTCCACCAATCAAAGACACTTATAATTACACCTATGAAATCACCATTGTAACGGGAAGCCGTAGATATGCCGGCTCTACGGCAAATGTATTCTGTGATATTCATGGAGAAAGAGCCACGACAGGCGCATATCCGCTGCTGGTACCAAATAACAAGGGATTCCCACGAAGGAGCTTTAGAACGTTTATCATTTCAGCACCATCGAGTATTGGTGCCATTACAGGAATCAGGATCTGGCATGATTGCTCTGGTAATAGTCCGTCATGGTTTTTGAGAAAGATTCTGTTGAGAGACACACAAACTGAAGAAGAATGGCTGTTCGCGGCAGGTAAAGAGAACGGAATGAATCATTATCTTTTCAGCTTCTTTTTATTTGCTTTGTTTCATTTCAAATAGATGTGTGGCTAGGTTTAGACGTTGGAAATGGTGAAGTTGAAGCTTTTCTCAAGCCAAACACTGTCGAAGATCTCTCTGAGTTCAACGTCATGTTCAACGACAAGATTCGTAAAGAAATTTGTGACAAGCACCTATGGTTTTCACTGATACTCAGGCCACAATGCAGCCCCTTTACAAGACTGCAACGTCTATCATGTTGTCTATCGTTTCTTTGTACCACTATGATAGCAAGCGCCATGTTCTACGGCGTCGGACCGCAACCTGGCGACACATCCGGGAACTTTCATGTTGGTCCGCTGACCATGAATCTCAGGACAATAATTATAGCAATTCAAAGTGCTTTTGTGGTGGTTCCAGTGAATGTGGTGATTGTTGCCTGCTTTAGATTGTCGGCTCCTGTGCCAGAACAACACGAAGAAAACAGGCGAAGGTTCTTCAGACGTTGTCTTCCATCATGTAGATGTCGTTCTTGTCGAGATGGCAGTGCGCATGACTTTCGGGAAGACGAGCGCAATAATAAACATAAACTGGAAAAGGCGCGAAAACAGAGTGCACTTGACTTGGACGACGTAGAAATAGAGATTAATAAGAGTATTTCTCAAAAGCAAGATGGTCATCGTAAGGTTAATGTTGATAGTGAACCAGACAAAACGGAGAAAGACGAAGACAGTCAAGATGTAACTAAGACAAGCAAAGATAATGCGCAATATAAAACAGATAAAGAAATAAACGAACAAGATGAAAATAACCAAGACCAGAAAACGAACAAGCAAGACGAAGCAGTCAACGAAAATGACGAAACAAACGACGAGAAAGACAACGAAAACAAAAAGTGCAAGTGTTGCTCCTGTTTTTATCGACTAAAAGCTGTGGGGTAAGTTGTGCTTTTTGATCTCAGTTTACTTAACATAAGCTTAATGCCACAAGCCTCATCACTTCTATTAAATCCTCGTATAGGTTACCGTTCTGGGTCGTGTACATTGGTTGGTTTCTTTGTATAACAGCGTCGTTAATCTCTGGTCTGTTTGTCATATTCTATTCCATGATGTGGGGTAAAGAGAAGTCCAACGAATGGCTTGCAACAATGTGCATATCCTTCATACAAGATCTTTTAGTCAGTCAACCAATCAAAGTGTTRATTACAGCTCTGCTTTTTGCGCTYATCGTGCGTCAAGCAAAGCAGGAGAACGAAAGGATAAAACCGAGGAGAATAGGTAAATAATTTACTCCGAATTTCTAYCAATATTATTTGTATTGAAGTGTAATGTAAACCAGGCTTGTACCAACATGTAATATTGTCATGGGATTAACGCGGTGTATTGTTATACGKTATATATTTGTTTCAATGAACACCATGCTTTTAAGTACAGAAACCTTGRTTCAAATGTTACTGTTTTTCTTCTTTGAATTAAGAAACCATTCCATTGGAAAACCAACCTGATTACCACGACGAAAACTACGATGACAGCGTTGCTCCTCTTGACCGAGCCATTGTCAGGAAGCTTCGCAAACAGCGTGAAAAGATAGCAGAAATCAAAGGAATTATGATCGATATCTGCTACTACATCATTATATTGGTAATAGTTAGTTTACTGGGCCGGCAGTATAGAAGTAGCCATACATATCACATTAAGAAAACCATGGAAAAGATGTTTGTAACACCACCAGCTGGACTTGATCGCCCCGCTACTGCTGAGGTCAGTACTTTCTCTTTCAGTGTTGTGAATTCTTGTGATGTAATATTYGACGTTAATGGTGCTTTAATCATATCCTGTGAATACTCTATGCTAACAGCATTGTTAACCAAAACATTTTTTTTTGTTAAAACAGATTAACAATGTGAAGACCACGTGGGATTGGATTAACCACACACTGATTGGTGGATTGAATGATGACATATCACGTGATTAYAGTACTGGTCTGAATAACATAGGCATGAGAGTATTGCATGCCAGGCTGAGACAAAAGCGATTAAAACCAGGTTAGTCAATGAGCTGCGTTTAGGGGCGATCCATTAGACTTTTGAGGGGTGGGGGAGATTTTTCAAAAAATTCCTGCGCCTARCCCTAAAAAAATTCCGGAAAGGCAAAATTTTGAAAAATCTCAACTAAAGCTTTTGCAAATTTACAAAAAAAAAATACAATCGCGCGCCTGAAGTCCAAAAACAATTATTGCACCAACTAGATCTTCAACCCCCCTCCCCCTCCCTCACCCCTGAAAAGTCTAATGGATCGCCCCTTAGAAGGGCTGACTATGGAACGTTATTACAAATATACCAACCATACACTATCCTTATTATCATCATCACTGTCATCATAATCAGACATCACTACAAACATCACGTTTCGTTTTATGACTAAACTATTTCTATGACGATAGGTGACTGCAAAATGTTTTCTTTGGAATGCAAAGTTTACTATTCAAGTGAGCAAGAAGACAAAGGTTACCATGACATCAGATGGACAAAATCATCTAATGACCGTTACCATGACTCCCCTTGGCAGTACAGCACTCCAAGGCAAGCAAACCACAGTCTTTCGGTCAGCGGTATTTATGTTGACTATAGCGGAGGAGGGTTTAACGCTCTCCTTAAAAACACCACTGAGGGCTCAAGATATGTCATCAACCAACTGGCTAAATCGTCATGGATCGATAATTCAACTCGTGTGGTCTTTGCTGAATTCAACTTGTACAGCGCCAATACTGACTTAATCACGTCAGTCACTGTTATATTTGAAATGCCGTCATACGGGGGAGTTGTGTCTAGTATTAGAGTTGTGTCGTTTAAGATGCCCAGCCAGTCCGTAATGACGAGTGTTATCGAGGGCGTTGCCTTTCTCTTCCTTGCGTTTATGATGTTTCGTACTATTATGGTTGTGTTCTATCAGAAGTGGAAATTCTTCTTCAAACTTGCCAACGTTTTTGACATYGTATTTGTCACGGTATCTGTAGTAGTTGTGATCTTACGCATGCTCCTAACCAATGCACAGGGAGCCCAACGAAACTACTATATGGAGTCTCCGTCATCTTACATTGACTTTCATAAATGTGCTGCTTATGCCGACATYGTCAGTTCTGCTTTTGCATTCATGTTTTTCATCGCTGTTGCACGATTTGGTGCATTTATTACGCTGTTCAACTGTATTCAAGAGTTCACCTGTACCGTCAAGAAGTCCCTTGAACAACTGGGCAACTTTATCCTTCTTTTAATCCTGCTTATCATCGCCTATGGCTCGTTCTTCGTCCTCGCTTTCGCTGATCAATGGGGTGAYTTCAGGAACTTCTCCGTCGCCATCAGAACGTTATTTTCGTTTATATTRAGTAACCTGAGTGGACGTCAGTTACCYGAGCCCACGGCATTGGCTTTGCCTGCAGTCAGTGGATACAGTCTTACCATGATCTTTTTGATGCTTAATATTTTCAGGGCAATTTTAGGAGAGAATCACAAGCAAGCTATCGAAACGAGCAGGCARAAGAAACARGAAAACAGTCTAAGTGAAGTTGCAAAATACATGATTGTTGTGCTACAACAGATGGTAAACAAACCTAATGTTATCCTAGAGGTACCAAGACGAGAGAAAACAGACTCRGAACGTCGACTCATATCACAAACTAACTACATTACAAACAATCAATCGGTTCGCATCAACCGATTCCTGAACGATTTTTACGCAGAGGACTTTTATGAAGATATGTTCATTTTGGACAACGTGGAACTTAAGAGCAAAAGACAGATACGGGACTTTTACCTGTGATGAAGTGAAWATTGRCCTGTCACGTGACTAATTATAGTTAAAAACCAGCAAAGAATTGTGGGTAATCCCGTAACTATACGAAATYATRTGACTTCAGCTWAGTTTRTTATATTTTTATCTCTACAACATTTCCCCTTTTTAAAARAGGCCAGTAAAACTGTTTTGATGTAAWTATTTACATCACTTTCAGACAAAATTATGTTTTAATAATACTAGAAATGAAAGCTTGCAGTAAAGCTATGCGTGAGAGCTTTCACATTTCACTGCTTTTCTTAAAAAAAATACAATGTTGATAAATTAGTAAAATAGATGGCTCATTTAAAACATGTTTGCGACATAGTCATCAATATTTTAGACAGTTTGAAAATAAAGAGTTATCACGCTGTATTAGCTATCGTTGAGTCTAAATGATGTCTAGTCGCCATCTTCGGYRTCTTCCCAGTTCATTTGTGACGTCATGTCAAAGACAGCCCCATGGAGGGTAGGGTGGTTGAAGTAGGAATTTGACACGTCGACAGACATTTCACGTGAACCTGTTTCRTGAGTCAAGGCCAGTGATACGATTGGTCGAGACTTGTTGATTACCATGACAACTTGATCACCGTCATCRTTCAGTACACAGTTGGATACAGCAAGGTCAGGAGTGAATGATGCAATGGGACACCCAGTCATTATATCCCATAGACAGACACTTCTATCCCAAGCACCCAGTGGTACGTAGGTCAAMAGGCGACGTCCATCTTTAGACAGACAGAYACCTTTAACAGGCTCTGTGTGTCCTCCCAATTGATACTTAAATTCACCGTTGTCAAGGTCATAGATGCGTATTGTCTCYCCGGTACCACTGCTTCCGGTCACAACAAGGCGCATGCTCGTCGATGAAACAGCCACTGACCAAACATTAAGACCCTGACCAATMAGATGTTTGACCGTCCCARTCTCCAGGTCCCATGTGACAACGGTTTTGTGCTTTTTGTCAAGTTTGGTGACGTCAACAAGGTAACGCCCGTTATGACTGATGTCAGCGGTAGCGAGCTGAGGGAACGTACCGTCCATATCCAAAGAAAACTTCTTACGCCGTTCTTTGATATCCCAAACAAGGAGAGGAAAGTTCTCACATGCACACACAGCGGTTTCTCCATTACCGCTGACCATAATWGTCTCAATRATAGCCCGCTGACCTGCTTTGAGCTTGGCCACGGGCTCACCTGTTTCAAGTGATGCTAGTTTCATGTACAGCCTGTCCTTTGATAGAACCAACACGWACGACGAACCAACTAAAGCACAGTCGTTGAACTTTCGTGTCTTTGACTTGGTTCGCGTGTTAAATCGTGGACTCTCAGCAAGTCGAATGGCGAGGTCACGACGTTTGTATAGTGAACTTGCATGTCGATTGACCTTCTCAACTTTGGTGGAGAATTCTGAGCGCATTTTCTTAATCAGTTTGCCTTCCTGAAGGTCTACTAACGCCAGCTTGGCACCAGATCGCAACACGGCACGTGTTTCATCCACTACAAGGATTTCGTCTGTGTTTGTACCGGTYAGCGTCCTGATTGGTTGGCACGTGATGACGTTCCAAACACTTATCGGTCCTGTTGATTGAAATGACTCTTGTATTTAGTCATGATGAGGGGTAATGTGCAATTTTATCAGTATACGTTAACCTCTAAAAATACAGATTCTTTATCAACCGAGTACACACAACACAAAAAAACCGACCTGAGAACCATCACTGCAGAGTAGCACCACTTATAACAAACTAACCTGAAGCACGGGACTTKGTAACAACTTGTTTCTGGATGCTGCTTTTAATCATAGCCAGATACTCAATACAGTGATCACCTTTATTGTCTTCAAAGTCAACCTTGGACTCCTGTGAACATTATACAATCACTTTGATAAAAAGAACCACTACAGTTTGACAGCTTGATTGACAAGTTATGATTGACAACTAATGATGATTGTCAACTGCAGTGATTGATGACTGACCATGCTACATTTACATTACCTCTTCTTGCTCTAGATCCCAGACTCTCACCAGCTTGTCATCAGACACGGTTACAATAACCTTAGCGTCATGACTAATGATTTGTTGGATTGACGTGGTTGGTGGATGGCGAATCACGTGACGTTCCTTCATAGCAGTCTCTAGGTTCCACATACTGACGTCATTGTAACAATTYGTACACARCATATATCGTCCATTGAAGGTTACTGTTGGGTGCAGAATATCAGGGCCCAGCACATGAAGACAGTTTGAGGACTTGATATCGAACACCCTTAGATTAGCGGACCATTGTGAATATACTATAAGCTGCCCTTCGTGGAATGGACTCAAATACATTGARCTAACTACGTCCYTTGAGTTCTCCCCGAARACTTGCAGAGATTTGAGCATTTCATGATTCGTTAGATCATAAATGTTRACRTAYCGATGRTTGGTGTTCGCCAGGGCTAAAACATGATCYAAACAAGCTACCTGGTTATGAACACGGTCKCCATCTTGGAATTCCTTCAAGACACTACCATCAGAAGCTTTCATGATTTTGATGGTTTCTTTAATGACARCTATGACTGTTTGACCKCCATTACCAACACATATTGGTGTAGAYCCCATGCATTCTACCTCGTACTTTAACTTTGCTGTTTTCAGGAACCATTGTCGGATTACACCTTTACATGATGCAACAACATGCTTGTCTTCAAGACAAAACAACACTTTGTCGACATCACTTGCGCTCTCGATTGACTGCAGGACAGAACCACTCCGTACATCCCATAATACTATCAACCTGTCACGTGATACAGACAAAGCCTTTGTGGTATCAGAGCTAACCGTGAGAAAGCCATCGAGATCTGGTAGTGAGTGTACCAGCTTTTCACCCGGTCKATTCAGACAGGGTACATTGGGAATGAATGAATGATTTACAGGATGATGTGCCTGACGTAGTAATCGTGCTATCACTGGACTAGGTGATCTAGATGACGAAAGACGACCGATGAGTTGCGCAGACAGCTGGTCTGCCGATATTATCAGCGCATCACGTGATAATTGWAGCGTTTCAAAGACGAGGGCGATGTCTTTGTCAGCAGGATGCACAGCGAGTGCGTCTGAGAAGTCTTGCAGGACATGACGTGGAGACGTAGCTTGTAGTTTGGCTGATATAAACTCGTAGTTGCATAAAGTATACTGCTTGAGTTTGTCCACATCACCGCTATGTAGAAGATTGTAAGGAAGCTCGTTTAACATTCTAAAGTTAAACAACTTCTTACTAAACATGAAGGGTTGAGTGGCAACATGGCGGTCTTTCAAGACTCCCTTYCCATCGTCCTTCTTGGCACCTCGCGTCCAGCGACCGTAGAAATAATCAGCCAAATTGGCATGCGCCATTTTGACCAGCAGACTCGTGTCGAGGTACTTTTTGGTTGCTTTCTCTTCGAACTCTCGATAATACCACGAAAACAATCGAACGCCATTAGTGCAATGTTCGTAAAGATACGGCTCCAGGTCGGTGAACACTCGGACTATCATCGCAGATGGAATGCGACGTATCGGAGGGGCTCGGAAACGATAAACTTCATCGAGGACATCTTCGTCGCAGCTAAGTATATCCTCAAGCTCCGACTGACTTAAGCCATGTCGCTGTACWGTWAGGTAGGATACTATGCGYTTGATTAACACTTGACCATGTTTCCTCTCGAGTTTGTCCAAAAATGAAGCGATTAATGCAGAAACCGAGGACTCTAAGGAGAAGTGGGGTGTGAAGGAGCTCCATTTCACAGCCTGTTCGTARGCTAGTTTCAGRTAGAGTGGTGTTGGTGAATTTGCAAACGCAGTCATGATTGTATTCATCTGTGCGTCAGTAAGTCGTCTCTTGTCATTAMTAAGCCATGTTGAYAAAATGGACGAGGCACTTTCACAAGACAGGGCACCAACATCCAGAAAACACGATGCATCTGGGATTAACTTCTGCAAAAGGAAAAGTTACAAATGACTCTGAAACAAGCACAAATTTGTTTATAAACTTCTTTTGTCTACATTTTTTTCATGCGTTGAAATTTAACTTCAGTTAGTTGTTCTCCAAACGAAAGCAGCGCGCTCAAGCCCMAGAACAAATGTTCCATAGGTTCCACACACACGTTTTCCAATGTGGTCACGGTAGCGCGGGGTATGTTTCTGATTTCACAAAAATCACCTCMATAGTTATAATAAAGACTGTCACATACCTGCATTGCAGATAAACACTGTTGGTTGTTGGACGTTGTCACGACAACGTGAACATAGGATGGTAACAGCCTTGGTAACCAATCCATGTGGTGTGCATTATTAGTTGGTGATAAGTTTTCCAGTGAATCCAGGAACACAAAAATTGGTCTTGAWACTTTKGCCATGTTCAAGCAGTCTTGAAAAACACGAACAAGTTCTTGATAGTCCTGAATCAAAGAAWAAAGAATTGTGATGCGACACTGTTTAAAATGCWCTGCCGGTCGACGCAARATTGAAAATCTACTGTTTATCGTTTTTGAATTATRTWTTTACCTTTGAAATRGTCATATTCACRCCCATTGCTCTACAAAGCTGCAAACAAACACTACGCAATRTAAGGCGTATGTTGGACGAGTTAGGAGTGGTACCAAGAAAACGTAGCACTACAATAGCGTCTTGTTTGACCCAAGAACGCGCATGCTTCGCTGCCATAGCAACTAATGACGTCTTTCCAGTTCCAGTGTCACCGTGAATGACCAAAGGGGAACTACATCTGTTTGCAATGTAATGGTGAATCTTCYTCATCAWATCGTCTYGTCCACAAAAGTCTGCCATTTTTCTTTGTGCAAATTTGACATGCTTGATAAGTTCTTCAAACAGCYTGTCGCTYGTAGGSTCACTGGCTTCTCTTTTCTTGATTCCATCAGAAATTCTGCGTTTAACAACGAGAAAAAAGTCCTGACACAGTTTGCTGAGGAACTGAACATGTGTCAAGTTGGCCTCTTGTCCAGCTTTATTTGAAGAGAACTGGATTTCGTAGGGGAAAACGTTAGACTTGTCCAATACTTTKGCCATCTTTTTCTCTTTAAGGTTCTTGAGAAGACTTTGAGCAACTTTATCAATTTCGCTGGGATTGATTCTTTCGCCTTTTCGTCTTGATTTCCGGATTCCTTTGATGTCAATAAACTTGTCTGACTTATCACTACTGATGTTTTCTTTGAGGTCCGTTATGGTTCGTTTGAACCATAGACAWGCGGTATTTGGATCAGTAGATTTCAGGATTCCTTGTCTTATTTCTTGCTCAATAACTAGAATGAAAAACCTGAACGTTACACTAAGGAAGTCAGAGATTATGGAGACACCGCTTTAAGGGTGCTCGTCCACAAAATCCACTGTTCCTGCGAATAATTCACTGTTTTTATTTCACTGTTTCATACCTGATATGTAGTATTTTTGTGCTGCCTCTTTGCTYAAAGCCTTTGCTGCAGCGGTTCTCAATATATTCTGCAGTTTGTAATACACCCCTCTCCACCCTCTCATCGCTATCTTCCTTGCTTCCTTGTTYGACGAGCTAAACGCATCGGGGAACTTTGAAGTGATCGGCTGCAGCACGTATTCCGGGGGGACAGCGTTGTCGTCGCGTAGAAACCATTGTCGTAGTAATTCTTTGTTAGTAGAGTCTTCAATAGCGGTTAAAATGGCGTCGAACTCATCGGTGGATATTTTTGACGGGAAAGCACAATATCCATACTTTTGACCGAGCAGCGTCTAAAATATTAGACGAAGCATTTCAATTTAGCAGCGGCTCATAGTTGTTCTTAAAAACTTAGACATGATTTCGACTTACCACAAATGTTGGCCCAGTTGAAATWTTCTGACAAGTGGTAAGTTCCCGTATGCACAGTTCYGGAAACACGTGATCATCCATATCTGGGTCTTTCACTCCCCAACGCATATCAATCACTTGGAACTCATACCCATACTCCCTGGAATACTCCTTCAATGTTGGGTAAACACGCTCAACGAASGCATTTCGCTCTACTTGAGTATCTACAAAAAGGGGGTTTGGAGCATTACTGCTATGAATGCTGGGAAGATCCGATTGAAAGTATGATGGGAAGAGTATGCAACATGCTAAACATGCTGGGAATGGCACAAGATGGTTGTTGGGAAGATCTTAAAGAGTTCGCTATACATGCTGGGACTACAGTAAGTATGAAATAGCCTGCAGTGTATTTTGGGAAGATTACTCGCGCCTTTTGTTGGAAGCCAATATGCAATGCATGTTGGGAAGCCAATACGCAGTGCATGTTGGGAAACCAATGCGCTGTGCATGTTTGGAAACCAATGCGCTATGCATGTTGGGAATCCAATACGCAATGCCTGTTGGAAAACCAATGCGCTATGCATGTTGGGAAACCAATGCGCTGTGCATTACGTTGACATACTTCATAGCCAACACCAACATAGCTGAATTTCAATAATTGCATGGACCATACCTGTGAACGTTGAACTAATATACAACCTGACAATGCGACTGACGTCAGGCACTTCAAAGTTCACGTGACCCATAAYTGCGCGCATTCGAATCTCATCCACAGATTTTGGTTTTCCGAAGGCCTTTGGCGAGTGTCCACTACTGGGCAGTAAAGACTCAGCTGGAATGTCGGGTACAGATCCTAGCTTTAATGTCAATGTAGTTTGAGGGGTTTCTTCCTTTGGTTCACAAAGAACAGGTTCACTTTTCCACTTGTCTGMAACAAGAGACCTCTCAACACTGCGTCTTCGAGGTTCGTAGTTCAATGTCGGTACTTTTAAATGGTTATCTACGGTCGAAGGGTTTTCTTCAAGGTTTTGACTGTTTTTAACAGTAGAACTTAGAGCTTCCTTTGATTGAGACTTTTTCGTAGTTTTCTTYTTTTTCTTTTTGCCAAGAAGTTCGTCGAGTGATGAGACTGACCCCTCTCTCCCATCACTGCTTAGTGGGTAAGTGTTATAAGACTGAGGGAGGGATAGTTCGTAGGATTTGTCCAGAGATTCCGATTTATTGTTAGATGGCGGGACGTCTTCTAGTTGACTAAGGGACTGGTAACTACCTTGTTTTCCAGCACTACAATAAACGATACATAATGTTGTATGAGTRCATCAAGATAAGGTAGTCATTTGTAATGTGTTTGTTGATTTGAATTATTTTATTTATYGATGGAGAATACTTCAAAAATCAGGCGTCCCTTCAATACGGGCTCTCTGTCCCTGAATGCATGAATAGGGTGTGTTTTGACATGACCTTTAGACAAATAGTCTAAGTACTGTCAGCACACGTTATGTGTATCGTGATTTTTAAACAATATCATGAATATTGTTGTGTTCACTTTCGTGATACACACATTTTAATCTAAWATATATGTCTAAACGTGCACTGACGAAACTTTGGTATTTACTATAACCATCTTTATACAAATTGATGACAAAAGGAAACCCATCAATTATTTTATCCCTGTTGATCACGTAACTATTCCTGGATTTTTTCATGYTTCGATGTTTTAAAAGGAACTTCAAAGGAAATTTKGGTCACAATGATCCGGGTATGATTAATTGTGACGTAATCTATCAGSC